GCCGCGCCCGTTTTCCACTTCGCGCTGGACCAATTTGCGCACGCCGCCTTCCCAACGCGAGACCGGTTTGCGCCCGTCGACTCTTCCGTGATGGGGCCTGTTTGCGCCCGTTGGTTCCTCCATGATGGGGTTAGGCGCGCCCGTCGCCTCCTCAGCGCGCGGCTGGTTTGCGTCCGTTGCGTCCTTCATGATGGGGCCAATTTGCGCCCGTTGCCTCCTCCATGATGGAGTCGGTGGCACCCGTTACCTCCTCCACGGGATGTTGGTTTGCGCCCGTTGCCTCCTCCATGATGGGACCGCTTTGCGCCAGTGGCCTCCTCCATGATGGGGCCCGTCGCGCCCGTTGCCTCCTCCATGATGGGGCACGTCGCGCCCGTCGCCTCTTCCTCCACTGGGGGCCTCTTTGCGCCCGCTGCCTCGCCCCCATGATTGGGCTGCATTGCGCCCGTTGCCTCCCTCATGATGGGGGCACTGTGCGCACGTTGTCTCGTCGATGGGGCCCGCCGCGCCCGTTGCCTTTTTCTTCACGTGGGACCACTTTGCGCCAGTGGCCTCCTCTATGATTGGGGCCGGTTTGCGCCCGTTGCGTCTTCAATGATGGGGCTGGTCGCGCCCGCTGCCCCCTCCACGGTGGCTCCCCCGATCGATCGGGCCCGAGAAACGCTGAAGAACTACAAGATGTCCTACGATGTTTCTTCTTGTGACGTCGGATCCCAAGGAAGAGAGGTCAGAACCCCGTGAACGATTTCGATAAAACCAAGGCGTTGGCGCGGCCGAGACAGGGGAAGCCATGGTTGAACACACTCCCCATTCTTAAACTCCAGAGTGGCCCGCGGGAAAAAAGTGCAGTGGTTCTTGCAATCGTTGGTGCGTGGGTGCACTTGTTTGCGCGATGCATGCGCTTGCTGCGCGTGGCTGCAATAATGCAGATTCTATCACACGCGGTAGCACTTGCTGGTGCAATACTTCGTGCCCCCACAGCAACTACGTGCCAATGCACGCCTTCCGCCACCGTGCCCCCTGGCACGCTGGGGCGCTCCAGGATGCCAAGTGTTGCCTGGCAGACTTCCTGGGAACTTCTGAGAGGCCCTTCTCTCATCACGCTGCCCCACATGAGTTGTCCCCCCTTTCCAGGCCAATTTTCTGCGAAATGCAATGAATTCGCGCTGCCGGAACGACAAACTCGCGCTCCCGAGGCCACAGCCCTTTTTGAAATACAACATGATCGCGCTCCCGATCCCAAGATGCCTTCAAGATGGCCCGAACCAACCCCGCGACGGCCTGAGAGGGCCACACAATTGCCCAAGAGGGCCCCCAGGGCCCATCAAAACTGCCTCACAGGAGGACAGAACAGCCATAAGACGACTCAGTGGACTTTCATGAGGGCTCCTTCATTAGTGAAAGCGAAACGTCGTACGTAATGTGACGTCCTTTCACTGCCTCCTATTCCTCCTGCTCCTCGTCCTTCACCTCATGTTCATCCTCGTCCTCCTCCTCCCCCAATTCCTCCTGCTCTTCCTCCTCCTCCTCATCATCAAAACCATCATCATCATCACCACCATCATCATCAGCATCATCAGTACCATCATCATCAACAACAACATCAAAATCATCATCGCCATCATCATCACCATCATCAACACCACCATCATCATCACCATCACCCCCGTCAACATTATCATCACCATCACCATCACCATCAGCATCAGCATCAACACCATCATCGGCATCATCATAACGGTTCCCCCCAAGCCTGGGGACACGAGGTGTCACACGTGACAGCCCCCCGCGAACGCTGGGCTTGCGCGGTGGCGGGACTTGCCGCAGGCAGGCGGGTAGCAAAGCATAAATCAACGATTGCACATTGCCAGCCAACCTATTTGCGCAATACCCACTACTCAGGCTTACATGTTCCTCGTCCTCCTCCTCCTCTTCTGTAGCGGCTTGGGCACCCCGCGTCCTTGAAAGCAACCGTGCACCCGAAAGAGGAAAGAGGTAAGGGACAACACACGAGTGCAAGCGTCACTCTTCCGGATATGCCTCGGCCCAGCTTCCCTCGAAAGGGAAGAGACGTCGAGGGGGGACGCGTGGCCCGAGCCAGCTTCGCAAGCCTCCGTGGTCAAAGGCCCAACCAACCGACCTGGACGTAAGCTCCTCCTCCTCCTCCTCCTCCTCCTCCTCGTCCTTCTCTCCTACCCCCGTGGACGAAAAACGCAGGAGAAACACGGACTACCATCACCGAGAACCCATCCGCGGGGGGCCGACCCGTGGGCGCTGGAACGCCCGAGCGTCACCACACTGCAGCATGACGCTCGGGCGTGCCACCGCCCACGGACCGGCCCGTCGCCGATAGCTTCTCGGTGGCGCTGGTCCACGCTCCTCCCCTGAGGAAGGGGGCCCCCAGCCAAGAAGCTGCCCCATCGAGCGCAGTTTACGTCACACCGGTCGTCGTGGTCTGACGACCCCCCCGAAGGCCAGGACGGGCCCACCCCTGGAGGGCCGAAGACACGGGAAGACGTCGGGGCTTTTTTTCCTCCGGGGCTCCCCCTCCGCCGAGGGCCATGCAAGAAGAACGAAGCGGCACAGGCGCACAATCAACACTGACAGTGAGGATGCACGGTGAGGATGCAAGGGCCTTGCACGCCCATGCCGAAGCTTTTCGGGCGGGGCTGGCCATCGAAAGTGGTTGAGGATGGGCCGAATGGAAAGAATGCAAGGCCACCCTCTTGGGAAGTCGACCGTGCTCACTGTCAATCTCGACTGTAAGCTCCCCGAGGCCCGCACAGACAGGGCCGCCCTCCCCTGCGGTCGGCGAGCGCCACAGGCGGCGCCCGAAAGAGCTCCCGCCGGGGGTCCCCCGCGCAGGCCCACGAACTCTTCTCGGGCCGTGGACCTGCAGTGCACGCATTACTCGTATGATTGTCTCTGGGCGCCCGAGATGGGCACGGACACCGTGGGCACAATATGCCCAACAGCAGATGCTGCCCCGAACCGACAGCGGCCGCCGCTTGGCGCGCGGCCTCCCGTCTCACATGCACACGATCCGCCGCGACGCCGACGGCGAACCCTGTTCTCAAAAATGGAGCAAGACCTGCTGTCAGTCTTCGTCCCCCATTGGGCGTGGCTTCATGGGGGGGTCACAAATAGGGGGGTCAGAAACGGTCCCCTTTCGTGCCCCTTTCGGGCCCCTCCGGAGCCCCAGGGGGCTCGTTTAGGCACCGTTTGGGTACCTTTTCGGACCACCCTCGCCACCCCCCCATTTATGACCCCCCTATTACGCAACGCCCAACCCCAATCTTTCCGTGCCCATGCCGGTCGTCCCGATCGTCCCTACTGCTGCTACCGGCTGGCTCTCCTCCAGGCGCCGAGAGAGAGGCACGACGGAGCGACGCCGCCCGCGAGGCACACACTGCCGTCCCGGGCCCCCGACGCTTCGACATATCTCCCGACGTGGGCCCCCCCCCACGGGTCTGGACCCCCCGCTTCCGCGACCGGCTCTCCGTCCCATGCCGCTTCTGCTTCTGGACCCCGTTCCTCGCTCCTCGCTCCTCGCTCCTCGCTCCTCGCTCCTCCTCCTCCTCCTCCTCCTCCTCCTCCTCCTCCTCGCTCCTCGCACCTCGTTGCCGCGATCGGCTCTTCGTCCCATGCCGTTTCGGCGGACGGCCCCGCGAGGCCCGGCGAGGGCGCCGGTGCCGAAGGCGGCCGAGAGCCCGCGGGACCCGCCCGCGGCGACCTCTTGCCCACGGCGTTCGGCATGTCTGGCACAGCAGGAACTGCTGCCCGCGCCGCTGTCATTGAAGGGGCCCTGGGACGCACAAATAAATACACACACAAATAAAAAGGCCCCCCATATTTTCACATACTTTCCGGGTGTTTTGTCTTCCCGCCCAATTCCCATGTTTCCCATATTTTCTTCGGGACCGACGATCCATTGTGTCTGTTTGTTTTTTTTTCCCTCGACTCTGGCGGTGCAGAAGCACCGTGTCAAACGGACGAGGGAGGGCAAGCCACCGCGATGGTGGCTGGTCGTCGGCCCCTCCCCGTCCCTCTATTCCTCCCAGCGCTTGCGCTCGGGCGACTTGGACGCATTCCTGCTTGTCTCTCTCGCTGTCGTTCTCCCCTTCTGTCGGGCGTGTCCCCCTACAGGGGGATCTTCGACGAAAAAATGCAAAAATACCCCAAAACTGATCAAAAAGCAATCCCGAAAACGTCTGGGGACTGTTTTTTAAATATTCTTTGACCTTTTTGGGGGCATTCTTGAAATACTCTTTCATTTGTCGTCGAAAATCTCCCTGTAGGGGGGCACGCCCCACATGAGGAGGGAGGAGGGAGGAGGGAGGAGGGAGGAGGGAGGAGGGAGGAGGGAGGAGGGAGGAGGGAGGAGGGAGGAGGGGGAGGGGGGAGGGAGGGGGGAGGAGGGGAGGAGGGAGGAGGGAGGAGGGAGGAGGGAGAGGGAGGAGGGAGGAGGAGGAGGGAGGAGGGAGGAGGGAGGAGGGAGCCGGGGCGGGCGGCGGCCCGCGCCGCGCGGGGCCGCGGCCGCCAGGCTCGCGAGGAGTGGCGCCGAGGGCCCGCGCGCCCCGCCCGCCCCGGGCCTGCGCCCCGGCCGCGCCGAGCGCAGGCCCGGAAGGAGCCAGCGGGCGGTCTTCTTGAAGGGGCCCTGGGACACACAAATAAATACACACAAATAGAAATATTCCCTATATTTCCCCATATGTTCTAGATTCTTGTCTTCCCCACCACTTCCCATATTTTCCTATATTTTCTGGGGAATCGCCGATTAATTGTGTCTGTGTCTTTTGTTCCCTCCTGACTTCTGCAGTCTTCGCACGGGCGGTCTTCTGCGGTCTTCTGCAGTCGTCTGCAGTCTTCTAGGGGGGGGGAGATCATGGCGTGGGCCAATGATGTCTCCCCAGATCTCACGTCGCCTCTTCTTGTCCTAGTATACTACGGGGCGTGAAAAACGGCCATAGCCACTGCTTTTCTTTGGCTGCCGCCTGCCAGCCCGCAGGAACAAGGCGGTGGCAGCGGTCATTTTCGCTGAGCTCGGCACCGGGGAAAGGACCACAACCGCTGCTGCCTGTTCGGCCGGCTGGGAGGCGGCGCAAACAAGAAGCAGTGGCTGTGGTCATTTTCCCGACCCGCACTTCAGCTGGTGGGGCCCTTCGCCAGGCTCCAGGACCGTCCGAAAGCGGCCCAGTGTAAAGGCCTGGCCCAAAGGGCCAGACCCCCAAGGGGGCCCACGCCGCGAGGCCGACACTCGAAGTCGGCGCACCTCGAGACGCCGATGGGCGCTAATCGGCGCTAGTCACCGCTGACGGGTTCCAAGCGGCGGGGTACCATTGATTCTGACTGCCAGGCGCGGCCTAACCGACACCCTTCCGAGACGCGCTTTTGCTGCGACGAGCCCCCCGTCCTCGAGGACCCCCTCCCGCCGCCTGGACATCTGGGGAAGAGGCGCTTGCGCCGTCGCGGCAGGGGTCGGTCAAGCCAGGCCGCCCGAGACGCTGCAGCGGCCGCTCGGGGCGAGCCGGGCAGCCCCTGGAACGCCCCCGACGAGGTGGAACTGCTCAAACGCATCCCGAGGCGAGAAAACCCTTCGCGTGCAGCGCCAGCGCGCTGGCGGGTGAAGCGACACCTACCACCGCCAGGCGGCCGTCGCCGCTGCAACGAGCAGCACCGTTCGGCTGGCGGGCCCCGCGTGCGCGCGGGCGACGTTGGCGTCCTGGGCGCAGGGCGGCGGCGGAGGTCGATGATGACGATGGTTGTGATGATGATGATGATGATGATGATGATGATGATGATGATGATGATGATGATGATGATGATGACGATGATGATGATGATGATGGTGATGGTGATGATGATGAGGATGATGATGATGATACTGATGATACTGATGATGGTGATGATGCTGATGATGCTGACGGTGATGACGGTTATGGCGGTGATGGCAGTGATGACGGTGATGACGGTGATGACGGTGATGATGATGACGACGACGATGATGATGAAAATGATGATGATGATGATGATGATGATGATGATGATGATGATGATGATGATGATGATGGTGGTGATGGCGATGATGATGATAATGGTGGTGAGAATGGTCATGATGATGATGATAATGGCCAGGCTCCAACAGACACGGTCTGTAAGCGAAGCTCGTCCAACCGCCTTACTGAACTATGGGGTTACGCGCGCACGCCCTCGAGACCCAGGGGCCCGAGGACCAGCGGGCGTTGCACCAGGGCCTCTCAAGGCCCAGGCCCACGCCGCCAAGTGCTCCGAGCTGCGCCCCGCCGACGAGAGAGGGGCCCAGAAGGGGGACACCCACACAGACTAACCGAGGGGCCCGAGGCCGCCAGGCGGCCACACGGAAGCAGTGCGCAACTCGCCGGCTGCCAGGCCCAACCCGCAACGATGATGGTGATGCTTGATGATGCTGCCACTCATGATGTTGACGGTGATGGCGTTGATGGTGATGATGGTGACGATGCTGATGATGATGAATCTCATGATGACGATGATGCTGATGATGATGCCGATGATGATGATGATGATGATGATGATGATGATGATGATGATGATGATGATGATGATGGTGCCGATGATGATGGTGATGATGATGATGATGATGATGATGATGATGATGCTGCTGTTGGAGTTGATGTGGATGATGACAAGAATGATGGAGACGATGATGATCACGACGATGATGATGATGATGCTGACGATGTTGCTGATGGGAAATCTGATCATGGTGATGATCGTTGCGGATGTTGAAAGCGTTGGAATTGATTGTGTTGGTGATGATAGTTCGTGCTGCTGCTGCTGTTGCTGATGATGGCGATGATGGTGAAGGAGATACTGATGATGAGGGCAGGTGATGATGGTAATGATAGGGCGGCGGCGGAGGTTGCCATGGGCTGCGCACGGCCTTGCCCAGAGGCCAAACACGATGTGCGCACCCAAGCATCCAACGTTCCCAAAACATAAAAAAACGGCAATGCTTCGTTGATTCTGGCCTCTTCGACGACGGGTCTGTTGAACAAAAGGCCGACGAAGAAAACGCGCATCTTGAAAGACGACGGGCCTCGGGGCCGTACGGGAACGGCGCGGGGTGAGCCGCGGGCCCTAAAGAGGTTCGGTTGCAACGGTAGTGGTAGTGGGCTGCCAGATGAGGCCAAGAGCTGGGCTGACAGGGCTGGACCGATCAGCAGGGTTGGCTCCAGCCGCGCTCTCCAGAGTCTCCAGCCTTCCCGCGTGAAATTCCGCCCTGCGACAGCTAAAGTCCCAGGCACCAATGTTCTGCACGCGCTGGTGGAGCATTTGGCCCGACTGATTGAACTTCGGACGGGAGGTTAAATGGTCACGTGGAGCCAGGCCTCTGGATGCCATCCATCGTCGTGCAAATTCGCGGTCGTCGTCGTCGTGTCCCTCCTCCTCACCCTCTGGCTCGTCCTGGCTGGGGTCGTCGTTGTCCTGGCTGGTGCCGGTGACCTTCGAAGAGTCGCCGTCGCCGTCGGCGTCGCCTTGTCCCGTCACGGGCCCCCGTCTCCTGTGCGGTGCCGTTCGAGGAGCCGCCGTCGCCGTCGGAGCCGCCCGGCCCCGCCACGGGCCCCGTCTCCGAGGGGTCCTGCACGCTGGACGGGGGCGCGGGCCGAGGAGGGAGAAAGCGAGCGCGAGGGAGCGGGGAGGATGGCGGGAGAGGGAAGCAGGCGATACACAGTCATGGGGGCTGACGGGCGGTTTGTAGGTGTGTGTGGGTGTGGGTGTGTGTGTGTGGGTGTGTGTGTGTGTGTGTGTGAGTGTGAGTGTGGGTGGGTGGGTGGGTGTGTGTGTGTGTGTGGGCGTGTGTGTGGGTGTGTGTGTGTGTGTACAATGTGTGAGTGTGTGTGTGTGTGTGTGGGTGGGTGGGTGTGTGTGTGTGTGTGGGTGGGTGTAGTTGTGTGTGAGTGTGTGTGTGTATGGCGGCCGGTGTGCCTGGTCGCCGCTCACGGCGCCCCCCCCGCCGCCGCCCGGCCCCGCGCTGAGTGGGCCCGGCGTCCTCCACCCTCCTGCCCTAAAACGACGCGAAGATCGGGACAAAATCGGATCGGGATAACTCGAAATCTCTGAGAAGGCCATAGACCTCCCGACCCCTTCCCCAGAGGGGGTAGTTTTGCGCTCCAGATCGTATGCTTGCCATAGCTCGGAAGGCCCATTCCCTGTGCATGCTTAGGTGTCGTGCGTTTTTATTTTTCACACGGTGATCCAAGATGCTCCTCGATGGTCCTCGCTGAGAGAAATGCACACGTTCGAGCGATCCCGGGGAGTTGATGGCCCCCAGGCCCAATCACTGGGCCCCCGGAGGCCGAAATTCCGGAAACACGCCGCGAGTGAACAACATGCGGCGACACCCGCTTGCCGAGGGTGAGACGGCGCGAGAGATGACTGGCTGCTCCCCTCCCCCTTGTCCCCCCTTCCCCCGGGTCCAAAATCAACATCTCGTTGAAGGGGGGGGGGGTGCACGAGCTCCTCGGCGCCTCCCTGGAGACCCTGGAGCTTCCAGATGTTCCTTCCGTGGCCTCAAGGACATGCCAAGACGGCCCCGTATCGCGGAAAGATTGGCCCAAGACGCCTACGATGCCTCCAAGGCGCCCCAAGACGCCTTCGAGATGCCCCAAGAAAGGCCACGAGACTTCCCAAGAGGGTCCCCGGAGGCTAAAAACAATGATCATCCTGAGGGTTTTCATTATTTCTGAGATGTCGTCTTCTCCGTCGACCGCCCCAAAACTGCCCAAAAGGCCCCTACGAGGGCCCCAGGACGGCCCAAGAGGGTTCCAAAACGGCGCAAGAAGGAGACCAAGACGGCCACAGATCTCTCCAAGATGGCCCCAAGAGAGGCTCTGGGGGAACATGAATCGAACATCTCATCTTTCCGCCCCAAGACGGTCCCCGAAAGCCCCAAGAAGACCCAAAGCGGCCCAAAAGAAGCCCCCGATAAGCCCCAAGAGGCGCCCAAGAGGCCAAAAAGAGGCTCCCAAACGGCCCCCTACGCTTCAAAATTGTCTCCAGGAGGCTCAGCCAGGCCCCAGAACAGGTCCCAAGACGCCCACAAGAGTCCCAAAATGGTGCCCAAGAAGCCCACGACACCTCAAACATGGCCTTCCCGCCTCTTGTGGGGGCCGACGGAATGGCATAAGCCTGTTGAGTCAAATAGTCGGAGATCTGAGAAGGGCCCCGCATCCCTAGACCCCCGACGCCGCCAATTTTTTGCGCAACGTCGACCCCCCGGAGGTCTCGACCCTCTGCCCGGGACCGGCTTCTCCTCCCGAGTCGTCTTCTGACGGCCCCGAGGCCAGGGAGGAGAGGCCCCCGGAGGCCGAGCTCGGCGAAAGACCTCCCGCCGTGCCTTTCTCGCAGCGCTGGGTCGTCCCCTGACCTTCCAGAGAGCTATTTTTTAGCACTGGAGACCTAAAAGCCTAAAAAACGAGACGAAACAGCCTAAAACCAAGACGTAGAATAGCTCTGGGATAGGTTTTTAAGCCGCGTGCTATTTTTTAGCCCTCCTGGAAGGTCAGGGTCGGGCCCCCCCCCCCCCGCCGGGGGCGGAGGTCCACGCCGCCGCCGCCGCCGCACATGGACGCGGCCGCCGTGGTGGCGCCCCAGTGCAGGGCCGGCGGCTCTCGGCCGAAGCGCGCCCGGTACGCCTCGCGGAGGCGCCGGGGGCGCCGCTGGGAGAGGCGAGGGGGGCGGTGCGCGAGGGCGGCGGCCCGCCAAGACCGAAGAAGACAGAACGCCACGAGCATACACTCAGGTCGGGCACGTCCTCTTATCGTGTTCCAACCTTCTTTAGCCGTGGTCACCAGACAAAAACTTCGAGCACCAAGGCAGTACCCAAACTCGAGGGGGATTTCGCGTGTCGGGCCCTGGGACACACTCGTTCGATACTGTTTCGACACTTTTCCGGGTGCTCGAAAGTATTTCTGGGATGTGGTCCTGAAGTGCGATGGGAGCAGCATAATCCTACAGGCGGACTTTGCAAGAGAACAAGAAAATGATCACGAACTTTGCATGCGCAGAAAAAAAAAGAGAGTGCCAAAGATCGTCCCCAGACTATGTTTTTGACTATTCTCTTGAATCTTCCTCCTGTGGAGGGACGTGCCCGACTTCAGGCGAGGGGGCGGGGCGCGGGGGGGCGGCGCGCACGAGAGCCAAAGAAGACAAAACGCCACGAACATCAACTGTTGGCGCTCCGCGCGGATCTCTTGGATCCGCGCTGGGCACCCCCTGGCGGGGTCGCGGGCACTGGACGGGACGGCCTGGTCATTGATTGATTGATTGATTGATTGATTGATTGATTGATTGAGACGCGATCGAACAACGTGTGGGCACTGGACGGGACGGCCTGGTCTTTGATTGCTTGATTGATTGGTTGAGACGCGATCGAACAACGTGTGGGCAGCTTCTGACTACGACTGACCACGACTACTATCAAAATGCAGCAAAACACCCGCAGACTGGTGGGAAGGAGGAGCGGGGAGGGGAGGGAGGCGAGGCCGGGAGCGGGAGGGAAGAGGGGGGTGGGACTCGTCCCAGTGTGATTGAGCGCGGCTGTGCGCCATGTTCCCGCGGCGTCGACGCGGCGGCAACCCCAGCGCGGGCGCTCAAGCGCGGGCGTTCAAGGCTGAATGCCGCCGGTGGCCCGGGATCGGTGGACGATCTGCGCTGCTGGAGTGCCGCGATCGGTCAAGATTGGGCGGTCCGCGTGGTGCTGTGCGCCAGTGCACGGGTCGCCACGGCACGAGCCCGCCGTATCCTGGCCGACGAGCCCGGTGCGATTGTGTGCAGCAATGGGGAAGCGGAGCGCACAATAGTCGAAGGAGAGACACTCTGGGCGCTCTGCGCGGATCTCTGGGATCAGCGCTGGGCCCCCCTCCGGCGCCGCCCGGGCGCGCGGAGCGGAGTCCAGCGCAGGTCCAAGAAATCCGCGCGGAGCGCCAAAAGTTTGTCTTTACAGATGCTGCTGTGTCATCATCTACGAGAGGCCGGCGAGGCGGATGCATTGGAGGGAGAGAAAGCTCCCAAGAGACCCCGAAACTGCCCCTCCAGGGGCCTACGAACGCGCTCCGACCGGGCCCCACGAAGCATCCCTGAGGACTCTGCCCCACGTCAGCGTCGTCGTCGCCGCTGGCACCGCCGCCGCCGCCGTTTGCTCGTCGTCACCCTTCAGGGTCGGCGACACCGGCCCACGGCCCTCCCATGAAGTGAAGGAAAGCGAACGTGGCTCTCAACTCAGGTGCCTTTCACGGCACTGCAGCACTCCAGCAACCCTACACGTAGTCTCGGGGCTTGAGCGCGCTGTGCCAAACTACTGCAGAGGCGATGGCATCAACGAATGACAGAGGCGCGGGGGGAGGCCCGCCAAGAGGAGGATGAAGTGGAGGACGACGAAAAAGATTGCCGGAGAAGGTGGCCCAGTCCCAAAGGTCTGGACCCAGACCTCCCAACGCATCGAAACATCCAAGGCTTCTGTTTCTCATTGTTTTCGGCGTCTGGGAGCTCTCCCCGGCAGGCTCTGGACGGCCCTGGGGCAAGGCGAGGGCCCCCGGGAGCAGAGAGCTCGCCAAAGCCCGCCGCCGAGCTGCTCCCCCGCGCGAGGCGGGCCCGTGTGCAAAACCTCCCACTGCGGGGTGAACTGACGCAGACTTTTCGTTCCGGACACGGGTTGGAGCCAAGCGCCACCTTTAGGTCGGGCATGTCCTCCTACACGCGGATTTTGGAGGAAACATCAAAATATCAAACAATTGTCAAAAACCGTGCTCCCGCAAACGGATTTCGGAGGGAAAGTGAAGAGACCCCAAAATAGTCAAAACCTGATCAAAATATCGTCCCATGACAACTTTTTGACTCAGCGCCAAGTCCCGACTTGGCTCCACTTAGCGCCCGACTTAGCGTTAAGTCAGGCGTGTCCCCCTGCAGGAGGATCATGGGCGAAAAATGGACATGATACAAAAATACCCCCAAATCGTCAAAAATAGCTGAACAAATCTTCCCTAGGCTATCTCTTGACTATTTTCGAATACTCCTCCTGTAGATGGACAAGGCCACCAGGGGGGAGGGACCAGCAGGAGCGAAGGCAAGTGAGTGCATGGGAAGGCCTATGATCGGGGCTGGACAGACCCCCCTGTAGTAAAACGTGGTTTAGTGAAAACGACCTCGGTCCCAAACCTGGCGGGCGCAAGCCTGGAGAATGACGGCCGCGGCGCCCTCCCTAGCACCGAACACGGACAATTCACTAATCGACGCGTCAGGGTAGGAGGTCTGTCCACCCCCGATATGAGGGAGCGGGGGGAGGAATGGCATGAGGAGGCAGACGGAGGCGACGAAGGCAAGCAGAGATGGGGAGAGGGGGAGGGTCTTGTGGGAGACGGGCCGCCGCGCACCCTCCGCGAGGGCTGCAGGCAGGCCCCTCCCCCCCCCCCCCCTCGGGGATCTGCTGTTGGGTCGGGCCTGTCCCCCTACAGGGGGGCTGTGGCCGAAAACTAAAAAATACCCAGCCAGGACATGCTCAAACATAATACCCAAAAATAGTTTAAACAAATCTTCCCCAGACAATTTTCTGACTGTTTCTAATCGTGCTCATTTCTAAGTGTGCTCGTTTCTAAATGTTCCTGGCCCCCTAGTGGCCAGGAAGAGGCCAAGGATAGAAGCTTAGAAATGAAAGGATCTTAGCCCCCCTCCTCGAGGAACTACTGTTAAGTCGGGCGCGTCCCCCTACAGCGGGAAATTTGCACGACAAATAAAAGCAACTCGAAACATTGTTCCAAATGGTAAAACAATACCGAACAAATTGTCCCCGTATTATGTTTAAACTATTTTTGAATATTCCCCCTGTAGAGAGGGACGGACCCGACTTAAATCTGCTGACCCGGGCCAGCCCAGACCGGGGCCAGTCGGGCCTCGCAGGATCCTGCGCGAGCCTGCCGGCAGACGTGCGGCGTCCTGATTTTTTGTCACCGCGGCGTCCCCGGAAGTCCATGCGGGGCCTGTTTTCCACCAACACCACCACCACCAGAAGTTGGAGGGGGAGGGGGTCCTCCTCCCCCTCGTCTTCTTCCTCCTCCTCCTCCTCATCCTCCACCTCCTTCCCCCCTCAAACTTATGGTGGTGGTGGTGGTGGAAAAACAAGCCCATCAGTCCAGACCCTTTCGCTGGGGCTGGTCTGTCATCCTGAGTCGCTGTTTGACGGTCCCAGGGGCCGGCGAGGGCCCCGAAGAGCCCCAGCACTGGGAAAAAACCTCCGTCCTAACCTTTTTACGACGCGATCATGCCTGGGGCAGGATCTGGCGGCGCGCACAAGGGGGTGGAGGGAGGGGGGAAGGCTTCTTGGAAGGAGGCTGCTTCTTAGAAGGCGCCGGCCTTACATCTATAGATAAAGCCCCCGCCTTCTAAGAAGCAAGGGTGGTACTAAGAAGCCCTCCCCCTTCCCCCCACTCCTCTCTGGATGCAACCGATCGAAGGATCCTGCAGGATCGTGCACCCACGCCTGGGTCAGTGCACACCTGGCCCCGCAGGGTCCTGCAAGACCCGGCGCTCTGACTGCCCCTCGTTTGCGCGGACCCCCGTCTCAAGGCTCCCGACCCGCGCGCGCTTCTCCGCACCTCGCTGGGATGCCGCCCGTGGCACAACGGATCCGGCAGCGCCGACCTGATCTGCGCGTAAGTCGGGCACGTCCCTCTACAGGAGGACAACTCAAAAATAGACAAACAAAATGGCCTGGGGAGGATTCTTCGATTTTGTTTGTCATTTTTGAACATGTTTGACTATTATGTACTTTTCGTCCCAAATCCGGCTGTAGGAGGACACGCCAGACCGAAATCTAAGCTTTGCCTTCTTCTCGGCGGGAGGGGGGGCGAAAGAGTAAGATACCAGAGGGCAGGGTAGAGAATCCGCTCACGCAGCTGGTGGTCCTGTCGCCTCCTGGCGCCGGGAGGCGCCCCTGCATCGAGGAATGGGCCTGGCGGCGAGGCGGAAACGAGCTGCATGCAGCAGATGTCTTGAGCAGGGACCGACCGTCCCGGCATTCGTATAGTCCTACCACGAAATGTGCTCAGAACCTAAAAATGGTCTATGAACAACAAACAACGTTCTTGGAACATCAACCCGACATGACAAAACAAGACAGTCCCAGCCAGAAATGTTCTAAGAACGTTTCGCGGGAACCACAAAAGGATCTTCGAACATTGTTTGGTAGGGCAATAGGCGAGCGAGGACGCTTCGCCACTGCTTGAATGTCGTAGCCCCCCTTTCCCTCTCCACCCCTCTCGTCCGACCCGATGCCCAGAGGGAGGCCTCGGCGCGGCGCGCTCGCATCGGCCCTGCGCCCGACCAGCCCATCGCGCGCTTTGCTCCGTCCCTGGGAGGAGGAGTGAGGAGGAGTGAGGAGGAGGAGGGATGAGGAGGAGGAGGAAGAGGAGGAGGAGGAGGAGGAAGAGGAGGAGGAGGAGAAGGAGGAGAAGGCGGAAGAGGAGGAGGAGGCAGAGGAGGAGGAGGAGGAGGAGGAGGAGGAGGAGAGGAGGAGGGGGAGGAGGGCGGAGGAGGAGGGAGGAAGAGGGAGGAGGGAGGAGGGAAGAGGAGGAGGAGAAGGATGGGGAGGAGGGGGAGGATGTGGGAGGAGGACAAGGATGAGGAGGTGGGAGGTGGGAGGAGGGGGGGCTTGGAGGAGGAGGAGGAGGAGGAGAAGGAGGAGGAGGAGGATGGATGGATGGATGGACCCGGCATTGCGCTGTGAGTCTGAAGACACTCGCCCCTCGAGCTCACGAAACGAGAGATCGCTCGGGGACACCTCTGAACAGTCGTGCGATCTCCTCGGACCGAACGAGGTCAGGCGTGTGGGCGCGCCGTGCAGCTGTGATCACCATGGATCCGAGCCGAGCAGGACAGGAAACAGTAAAACGCACGCGGGCGGGGGGTGAGACCCCTCTGGCCCCTGGGGGCCGAGCTCAACGGCGCGGAGAGCACCGAGCAGGCTCCCTGGACAACCCAGAGGCCCCGAGAAGGAAAAAAGAAACCAGGCCCAAGAAGGGGCCGACGGCGCGCCCTAGAGACCAGGGGCGGCGAGAGCGACTGGAGGGGCCGGGTGCTACAGCGAAGCTGCTGAACTCACGTCGTCACGTAGGTCGCCCATCTCTTTCCGTAGGATCCGCCGCCCGTGTCAGCCCTTCTGGCCGTAGTGGGTCTGGCGGTTCTTGTCTGGCGTTTTCTGGGCCATCGATTCCAGGTGGCCCGTCCCCATCTTCTGGCGGCCGCCCAGAGCGTCGAGACAAGTCTCCTGAGGGCCGTCTGGGTTGACGCTCTTCCGTGTGATCTGGATCTAGTCCGCGTTAGCGAACTGCGTCCTGGTGTACTGGTCGTTGTGGCGCGTGCGCAGCCTGAGGTGGAGAAGAGCTCCGAGCCCGTCTCCGTGCAAACGAACTGCTGGAAGGTACGCGGGAGCCCGTGCCCCTGCGGGGCCTCCTGCACCACGAAGGCCGGGTACTCGGCGTGAGCGAGGTACAAATGTGGTGAGTTGGGGCTTCGCCTCGGGGGACTGCGCCGCCTCTGCGTACATCTTGCCCGCTTCCCGAGCTGCGACGATCGTAGTGGCCGTGGGCGTGGTAACGATGCTGATCCATTCCGAGTCCGCAAGGTCCCTGAGCAGCTGGGCGTGCAGGCGCACCGTCTTGGGGAGGAACGTGACCGCCTGCTGCAGGTCGCGCGTCTTCAGGGCGCCCTCCCGACGAAGCCTGATCGCGTCGTAGTCCCAGGTGTGCAGCGCGTGGGCCTTGAAGATGTCGCCCGCGTAGAAGGAGCGGTGGTCTCGATCGTACAATATGTTGAGGCGGCGACCTGCTCCCATGGGGGCCATGCACTGTCGTGTGTGGGACTCCAGGGCGAACGGGGGCGTAGAAGAAGTCGATCCTGCGAGATTGTCCGTGCGTCCCTATGAAGGTGTCCCCGCTGACAAAGAAGGTGTCGTGGTCCGAGAGGAACCGTTGCCAAAGACGTCCAGAGGGGCCCTCCAGCTCCAGGAAGGTGCCCACGGCGCTGTCGACCTCGCTCCGCAAGTCGGGCACGAGCAGGGACGAGGAGCCGAGAAACGTCTCGTCCACGGAGTCGCCGAGCTGAGGTCCGCCCCGCTGAAGGGCGTGCGACGACTGCCCACAGGCTCCATCATGGTCATAGCCTGGGTCACCTGGTGGTATGAGAAGGACTCGGATGGCACGGAGAGGTGCCGAACCATGAGGAGCGCGTCCGAGGAGCGGCACTGTTGCGCCGCAGCGACCCGAGAGCGCCGCGGGCGGAGGGTAGATCAGACGTAGGTGTGCCTGCCGAAACCGCTGATGTAGGAAGATGCTCCCCCCGAAGCTCTTGTAGGTCCAGCCGAAGGAGAGCTCCCAGTGGTAGTCGTGCTGAAAGAGGCGGTGGCGGCCGTCCAGAGTCGGGCGGCGGCTCATCCCAGGGAAGAGGATCTCGCCCATGTAGTGCTCGCGGGTGATCTCCTGCGCGCGGGTGCTGCCCGTCAGGTAGAGAGGGATGTACTCGTAGAGCCTGGTGTGCGGAGCAGGTTGCGGCTCTTGCTCCTGGGTGCGTCCGAGGGCGCGGCAAGCGCCTGTCGACGATCGGGCGGCCGCCCGCGGCGAGAAGCCGACGGCCGCGAGCAGGAGGAGAGCCGCCATCATGGGCCTCTGGGGCCCCGCGGGCGAGTGGGCATCGCGCGCTGCTCCCCTGGCGGGCGATGAACAGGGTAGGAGGGCCGCGTGTCCCGCGCCCTTCAGCCGTGGCGGCGGCTGGAGGAGGAGGAGGAGGAGGAGAAGGAGGAGGAGCACCAGCCGAGGCACGCGGGAGGTGCGCGCCCAGGCGCTGCGCCCCGCCGTGCAAACAAACTGCCCGCGCCCCGCACCCCGCACGCGCCGCCCCCGCGCCCCGCGAGGAGCGGGGCCGTCTGCACCCCGTCTGCACACCGCGCCCCGCTCGGGGCCGGGGCCTCGAGTATTACTTTTCAGTCGGGCCTGTCCCCCTACAGGGGGATCTTCGACGACAAATGAGGAATGCCCCAGACATAATCAAGCAATAATCAAATGCTTTACCTTTGGGGGGTATTATGTTTTTTTCCCGCCCGACCTAATATCACTTGCCGCAGGCCCTGCTGCGCCCGTCGCACCTCAGGGCCACATCCCCCAGAAGTCCGCCGACCCCAACTGGGGATCATCGGCGTGTGAGATGCTTCCCCCTCCCCAAACCCCTCCCCCCGCCCGGAGCCCGGTCCGGTCGATTTGGAGGGGGGGGGGCCGTCCGGCCCGAGTTCATTAGGGGGGTCCGGCCCTTCCTGGGCTCCTTGTGGAGGTCCACGACCCCAACAAAAAACAAAGAGGTCGGCTGTGTGGCGTGAGCCCAAGAAGAAGTCCGAGCACCCAGAACTGCATCGAAACGGTGTCGAACGAGGGTCGCCCCCCCTCGTCTGATGCTGCTCCCGTCGTACCTGAGGACCGCATCCCAGAAATAAGTCCGAGCACCCAGGAAGGTATCGAAACGGTGTCGAACGAGTGTCGCCCCCCCCCCCCTCGTCTGTTGCTGCTCCCATCGTACTGAAGGACCACATCCCAGACATCATTCCGTGCACCCAGAACAATATCGAAACGGTGTCGAGCGAGTGCCGCCTCCCGGGGCTCGACACGTGAAAGCCCTCCAGTTTCGGTACTGCCTTGGTGCTCGAGAGCAGGTTGGAACAACATAACCCTCGAGTGATTGCCTCAGGACGGGCATGTCCTCCTACAGGCGGAATGTTGCAGGTAAAGGGGGAAATTACCAAAACATGCTCCCACAAATAGTCAACAAGAGTCAAGACATCGAGCCCTGAGTATTTTTTTACTATTTTTGTAGATTCCTCCTCTGGAGGGACGTGCCGGGCGAAGTACTTGCACCCCTCGTCCCGCCCACATCGGGAGACTTCAAGTGCAAGCCCAAGCGGGTCCCCAGATTCGGCGGCGAGCCAGGTGGGGAAGTGAGAAGGAGCAGTCCTTCCCAGAAGGCGGAGGCGGGGTTTCTGAGAAGCCCTCGCGCTTTCTGAGAAGCTCTTTTTGTATTCAGGGAGGGCTCAGAACACTTCTCAGGAGGCCAGGGAACTTCCGAGCCTTCTGAGAAGGCCTTCTCCTTTTCACGTCCCCCCCTCGCTCGCCGCCGACCTCGCCGTCGCTCGGACGTCCATTTCCCGTGCATTTGTAGATTTCGTGCGTGTTTTTTCTTTGCTCGATGATCCAGGATGGTCCTCGATGGTTCTCGCCGAGGAAAAAATGCACACGTCCGGGCGACGCCAATCGACAGACTGTCCATGCCCCCGCGCCGCGCGCAGCCCACTCGCCCCGGCGGGGAGCCCCAGCGGGAGCCCGGCTGGGCGCGTCCGAGCTGCTCCGACCCCCTCGGGGAGGCCCAGACCTCCGCGAGGCCCAACTTCCGTGCCGCCGCTCGTGTCTGGGGTCCCACGCGAGGCCCAACGTCTTTGGAGACCCGAAGTGGGTACCCCAGATTTCGTAATAAAAGGGAGGGGGTCTCATTTCGGGGGGGTCTCTTCCAGGCTATCTTGGAGGGCCTGGGGGGGTCTGGGGACGATGTTTTGGAGGGTCCTCCCACGGGGGAGGTCTGAAATGGCTTGTCTTGGAGGGTCCAGACCCCCTCCCTTTTATCACGAAATCTGGAGTACCGAAAGAATGGGCACAATGCCCAACAACAAATGTTGTCCCAGACCAACAGCGGCCGCTGTTGGGCAGGCGGCCTTCCGTCTCGAATGGACACAGGCCGCGGCGGCGCGGACAGCGAGTCCTGTTCACAATGAACAGGAACAATGAACAGGAACTGCTGTTGGGCATTGTACCCATTCTTTCCGCGCCCATCGAGCCCCGTCGCCGACGATGCATCGGCGATGCGGCGCGATCCTCCGACCCCATCCACTCCGACCCCATCTAGCAGGCCTAGATTTAGGTCGGGCGTGTCCCCCCACATGCGGATTTGGGAGGACACATTGAAAATAGCAAAAAAATGCCCCAGGATTCGCCGGCCCAACGGGCCAAAGGCGTGCTAAGATCACCGCTAACTACTAACAATATTTCTAGTTCGCGCGCGCGGGGCGGCCCCTGGGGGCCCCCGGACGAAAAGTACCCCGGCCGATCCCCGGCTGACCCCCGGGCGATCCCCAGGGGGAGGCTATTTTCGCCACCCCTCACGAGGATCGTGGCCTCCGAGGGGGTGGCTGCAATCGACTCCCCCCCCTCCTGCCTCAAGGGGCCCCCACTTAAGAGCCCCCCAGGAGGCCCCAGGGGAGCCACGACGCCGAGGAGCCCCAAGAGACCCCCAATAGGCCCCCAAGAGGCCCCTAGGAGGCCCCCAAGAGGCTTCAAAGAGGCCTGCCCCATAGAGCGCTCGAGGGCCGGCAGAATGAGCGAAGCGATTAAATAATAAAAAAGGAAAATGCGGAAAAATCGCCACCATACTATTCTTTAACTATTTTTGAATCTTCCCCCTGTAGAGACAGGGACGCGCCCGACCTAAGCCTAGATTGCTTGGACGCAACTCTTCAAGGCGCCAAGGAGGTCTGGCCGAAGGGGGCGCGCCACCCCGACTCGTGTTGCATCTTCAGGGACCTTCTCTGTCCCGTTGCCCCGCGATCCACGTCGATTCCGTGCCGAATCCATGTCGAGCGCGTCGAATCCGTGTCGAGTCCACGTCGATTTCGCGTCCAACCCGCTTCGGAATATCAGAAAGGACTGCCATTTACGGGACAGGAGGGGTCCCCCGAAGATGCAACGTAACCCCGTCACTCCGCACCGCAAGGGCCCGACAAGAGATGTTCCCAGATCAAGAGCACTCTCCAGTCCGCTGGCCCTTCGGCTTGAGTGAGATTCTTTTCCGTCTGAGTCGTCGTCGTTAAATTGTCGTCGTCGCCGTCGCCATTCCAGAAAGCAGGGGAGAGGAACGTTGGAAGTCAGTCGAAGCGAAGCCCCTTCCATTTGGCCGTTCCATGCCAGGGGCTGGGGTGCGGGGTGGGGGTCCCGGGTCAGGATGCTGCCCACCGAAGTCCCCACGGTTCCCGGGGTGGGTCGCCAGCGAGGGTCCTGCAGGAGGTCCCGCCATCAGGGTCGGCAGCACCCGCCGTGAGGCCTCTGCAACAACAGCCACGGTGTCCTTCGGACGTGAGACCCGATTCATCATGACAGGACTGCCTCAGCCAGACATCTTCGAAGAACAGAACCCAGACATGCGACGTCCTGCTTTCTTCAGCGCGGTCATCCTGAATCATGTTGTGACGGCCCCAGGACCCGGCGAGGGCCTCCAGAGGCCGAATATGGCGAACAACATTGCCGTCCTGCTTTGTTTTTACGCCGCGATCATGTTTGGGAAGAACACTTCGTGAAAGCCACAGAAGGTTCGCAGCACATCCTCTGGTGGGCCTGCGGGCCATCGAGGACGCCTCGCCACGGATTCCTCCCGCGGCGTGCGCCCTCGGCGCCCGACGAAGAGGGCGGGGCCTGTGGCCGAGATGCCCGCCGGCGCCCACGCCTCTCTGTGGCCACATCCCAGACCCCCGACGTCGTGATTTTGTCATCACGTCCACCCCCACTCAGACATGACCGCGTCGAGTAAATTTCAGGACGGAGGTTCGTCATTATTTTCGGCCCTGCCGTCGCCGGGCCCGAGGATCGTCAAGAAACGACCCAGAATGACAAACCAGCCCCGGGGAAAGGGTCTCCGGGGACGCCGCATTTCAGAATTCAGGACGCCGCATGTCTGGGTCCACAACGTCGACCCCCAGAAGTCTCGACCCCTTCCCCGGGTTCTGCTTTTCCACCTAAGTCGTTTTGGCTGACGTCTGACGGCCCCGAGGCCGGTAAGAAAGGTCGCCCGGAGGCCGAAGAGAGCGAAAGATCTCCCGTCGCGACTTGTCGACTTGTTTACAACGCCAGGGGGGGGTCTGGGTCATTGGATACGCGCGAACCATGGAAGCCTCCCAGATGGGGACGGAGTAGATGGGGTCCGAGGATCGCGCCACATCGCCGATGCATCGGCGATACATCGCCGATGCGTCGGCGATGCATCGGCGACGCCAGCGATGAGAACATCGGGCTCCACATCGAGCCGCATCGCCGATGCATCGCCGATACATCGGCGATGCGGCGCGATCCTCCGACCCCATCTACTCCGACCCCATCTGGGAGTCCTGGAAACCAGGCCCGGACGACGACCACCACGACGACGACGACGACGACGACGGCCACCACGACAACGGCAGCGACCACGACGAGGACGACGAGGACGGCCTCCCGCGGGGCCGCGGGGCGCCTCCTTCGTGCGCGCGTAGCCCGCGGGTATGTCGCTCACCTCCTGTGGGGTGCCCCGAGATCCTGGCGTTCGGTCGGGCACGTCCTTCTACAGGCGGATTTCAGCAGAACGGTGAGAAGCGGTCAGCACATGCTCAAACAAGAATGAAACATGGTCGAACAAATCGTGCCCGGATGAGTTTTTGCGACTACGTTTGACTGCTCCTCGTGTGGAGGGACCTGCCCGACTTGGCCCTGGCGCCTCCATTTTCTCGAGCCGTGCGTGCTCGGCGGTTTTTCAGGCCCTGGGACCCTCGCAGATCGATCAGGCTCGAAAACGTGGCGCAGGAAGATGGGGTCCAGGGCTCCCGAGGAGGAGGAGGAGGAGGAGGAGGAGGAGGAGGAGGAGGAGGAGGAGGAGGAGGAGGAGGAGGAGGAGGAGGGAGGAAGAGGCGGGGAGGAGGAGGAGGGAGGAGGAGGAGAGGAGGGGGGAGGAGGAGGAGCAGGGGGGGAAGAGGAGGAGGAGGAGGAGGAGGAGAAGAAGGAGGAGGAGGAGGAGGAGAAGAAGGAGGAGGAGGAGAAGGAGAAGGAGGATGAGGAGGAGGAGGAGGGAAGGAGGAGGAGGAGGAGAAGCCTTTGGATCTCAGGGTGAGGGGGGGGGCAGCTCCGGGCACGCAGCCAGCGCCACGGAGGAGATGCCCTGCAGTCAGAGGCGGGGGAGGGCGAAGGGATGCCCCCCCCTCTCATCATCCTTTCTCGAAGCATCTCGCCTCGTCGTGGTTCATCCAGACTCCTATTCATATCCTTTTTCATTACCTCGCCGCATTTTACCTGGGCATTCGGACAGTCGGCCTGCAGTCGAGGTGCCGCGGGGGCATAGCAGGGGGGTGCTGGGGCGCCGCTATGGGTGAGCTGATTCCCACGAACTGATTGCCACCATGCATTCTCCCACTATTCCTCTGCATCAAGCTGCGGCAGAAGATGCTTGTCTTCTTCATCACCGCCCTCCTGCTCCTCATGTTCTTCCACGTCATTACTTTCATCCTCCGCCTCCTCCTCCTCCTCCTCACCCGCCTCCCCATCCACACCCCTCCTGCTCCTCCTCGTCCCCCCCGTCCGCCTCTTTCTCCTCCACATCCTTTCCCTACGCCATATTCTCGTCCTTCTGACCCCCCCCACCAACCCACCCTCCTCCCACCTCTGGGGCTCCTGCCCCTTCAGCACCATCCGTATCCTCCCGGCTCCTCATCCTCCTCTGGATCCCCCCTCCTCCTCTATGCTCATCCCCAGCCACAACTCCTCGGCCTCATCCCTGCTCCTCCTCCTCCTCCTCCTCCTCCTCCTCCTCCTCCTCCTCCTCCTGGTCCTCCTCCGTGCACGTACTCCTTTCCCTCCTCCCCATACCTCCGACCTCGCGAATTTCGCAAACGCGGGCCCCGAAGTCTCGACCCCCTCCCCTGGGCCGACTCCTCCTCCCGCGTCGTCTCTTCACGGTCCCAAGGGGCCGACCGGGGGCACCCGGAGGCTGGACATGGCCAGATGCCGCAACTGCTCCAGTTTCACAGCGCGTGGGCGTCGGGGCCCCTCTGCTCCCAATACGACGGGCAACATCAGGGGGGGACCACCTCTCGTTTTTTTTTTGTTTTTTTTTGGGGGGGGGTGGGTGGGTGTTTTTTTTGTGTTTTTTTTGTTCCTCTCGCACCTGCAGAGCCGCGTGACAAGCGCAACGGGGGGGACCACCTCTCGTGGGGAAACACATCCACCTGGAATCGGCGATACAGTCGGACTTGGTTGGACAGGACACGCGGGAGGACACAAGACCCTTCCGAGGGCCACATTGCCACAGGCATGCAAGAGGCATGGGTCGCGAGACACAGGACACACGAGTCCCCTTGCTTTGGCAAGGCCGACCTACTAATCCGGGCCGCCTGCACATTGCCGATCGGCCCCAGCAGCGAAAGCGCACGCTCGTGGGCGGGATGGGCGCTATCGGGCACCCAGCGGCGATGCACAGGCGCGTGGGGGTCGATGCGATGCCTCCCTGAGCCTACCCCTTCCTAATTCGGCGTGTCCTCCTTCGGGCGTGTCCTCCTACGGGCGGAGTTTTGGACGAAAGATAAACAAAATACCACAACACTTTTTAAAAACAACCAACAATAGTAGAAAACGTAACCTGTGCATTTTTGACGATTTTTTACTGTTCCGCCTGCAGGGGTACAGGCCCGACTTAACCCCAACGTCGCCCCTGACAATGCCCGCGGCTCCTGAGCGGAACGCGCCCGGCGATGGTGCAGGAAGCGGCCGAAGAGGCGCTGGGCACGGCCGGGCCGTCTCCGCCGCCGACCGCCGCCGCCACGGCACTCCCGCGGCCGGCTTCCGACCGCAAGTATACCAGCGCCGATGTTGAATCCAAACTCTCGAGAGCTGCATCCTCAGGATGCAACTTTCGGAAGTTTGGATGGCAGCTGGCAGTGGTCTCGCTTGCGGCAGCTGGCAGTGGTCTCGCAGACAGGGCGCCTACACTTACGCTCCTTCGCCGTACATGCAAAACGCTGACATGTAAAATCCATAGTTGTGGGGGCTGGGGTCGGTTTCCCACTGTTCATCCGAATCCAGACCTCCTCAAGCAATGCGATCAAAATCTCGAGACGGAAGATCTGGTGCACCTTTCGGCCTCAGGATGCTCTCGCTTGGCACTGGGGCCCCCAGCAACAAATTACACCAAAGAAAAAACCCAATCAGGGGGAACCCAGAACCCACCGACATCGGCCCGGAACCAATAAGGAACCCTGGAACCTGGAACCGGCAACCTGGGAATCCAGCCTGCCACCAACATCTGCGGGAAACTTTCGCCAAATCTTTCAACTTCCGCTCGGACTCCTTCAGTGCAAGCGCTGATTGGGGAAAAAGGACTCGTGTCGAGAAGCCAGCCGCGGGGATCGTGAGAAACCACGACGTCGGAGCTCTGGGTCTGCCACGAACATGTATACACAGACGCCCTCCGACGGATTATGCATGTGACTTCAGGGAGGGCGGCAGTGTGCAAAGGCCGACACACATCACACGGTGTATCGCACAAGACGCAACCCTAACACAAACAACACCTACAACATACAGGAACCATGAACACACACACACACACCTAACACGCAACACACACAACCCATTCACATCGCACCCCAAACACACAGCACCGTACACACAACCCGCATAGCACACTTAACACACACACACACGCACATGCACTCTCTCTCTCTCTCACGCACACACGCTCACACACACACGCGCACGCACACACATACACACGCGCACACACACATGCAGAATACACACAACACACAAGCAATACCCACACATCGCTGACAAAGAACACACAAGCAAACCGCAAGCGCACATGACACACACACACACACAAACACACAGACATCTTACATAACACAAAAAGCAATACACACACGCACACAACTCCCAATACAGGGAACATGTTGTTTTGCATGAGCCTGGACACGCACGTGCCACTGGTGTGTATATATACAGACATAAATACGCACTTGTCGGAGGTGAGGGGGTGAGATCGCAGTGAAAAAGAGACCCCCCTTACTAGGACATCGGCTTCCGTTTCGTGTTCTTGCCGTGCGTGCGGGCGTGACGAAGCTGCGTCGGCGGGCGAGAAGAATTAACCCAACTCTGGCTAGGGCGCCGCCGGGCCCAAAAAACGCCCCTCCCTCCAGGTTGGCCGGCGGTGGCCAGGGGTGTCCAGCCATGGTGTCCCGACGGTGTCCCGTGGTGTCCCGTTGTGTCCCGTCGTGGCCCGTGGGTGTCCCATCGTTGTCCCGCTGGTGGCCCGTAGTGAGATCGATAGTGAGATCGACAGTGGCATCGGTCGTGGGATCGATCGTGGGATCAACAGTGAGGCTGACAGCGAGCTCGACTGAGTGAGAAGTTGGGCCTTCCCCCTCAAACCTCCTTCTCTCCCGAAGGGTGGCCGTATAGGTATGCATCTATATATATATAGACACAGATGCTCGCCCATTCATCCTCCCTCTCCTCTTCCTCCTTCTCCTCCTCCTCCTCCTCCTCCTCCTCCTCCTCCTCCCTCCTCCTCCTCCTCCTCCTCCTCCTCCTCCTCCTCCTCCGACTCCGCCTCCGCCTCCTCCTCCTCCTCCTCCTCCTCCGCCTCCTGATCCTAATCCTCCCTCCCTCCTCCTCCTCCTCCTCCCCTACTTGTCATCACCTCTCCTCCCCGTCCTCCTCCCCGTCCTCCCCCCTTCTCCTCCTCCTCCTCCTCCTCCTCCTCCTCCTCCTCCCTCCTCCTCCTCCTCCTCCTCCTCTCCCGTCTCCTTCTCCTCCTCTTCTCCTCCCACTCTTCCTCCCCCCCTCGTCCCCCCCCCCCTCCTCCTCCTCCTCCCTCCTCGTCCTCCTCCTACTCTCTCCTCCTCCTCCTCGTCCTCCTCCTCCGCCTCCTCTCCCTCCTCCTCCTCTCCTCCTCTTCCTCCTCCTCCCTCCTCCTCCTCCTCCTCCTCCTCCTCCTCCTCCTCCTCCTCCTCCATCCTCCTCCTCCTCCTCCTCCTCCTCCTCCCTCCCTCCTCCTCCTCCTCATCCTCCTCCTCCTCCTCCCTCCTCCTTCCTCCTCCTTCCTCCTCCGCGTCCCTCTCTCCCTCCTCCTCCTCTCCTCCTCCTCCTCCTCCTCCTCCTCCCCCTCCCCCTGCCCCCTCCTCCGCCTTCGCTTCCTCCGCCTGCACTCCTCCTTATCCTCATCATCATGCTGCTCCTTCTCCTCCTCCTCCTCCTCCTCCTCCTCTTCCTCCTGCTCCTCCTCCTCCTCCTCCTCCTCCCTCCTCTCTCCTTTCCTCCTCCCCCTCCTCCTCCTCCTCCTCCTCCTCCTCCTCCTCCTCCTCTCCTCCTCCCCCTCTTCCTCCTCCTCTCCTCCTCCTCCCTCCTCCTCCCTTCCTCCCCCTCCTCCTCCTCCTCCTCCTCCTCCTCCTCCTTCCGCTCCTCCTCCTCCTCCCTCCCCTCCTCCTCGTCCTTCCCTCCTCCTCCCCCTCTCCTCCTCCCCCCCCTCCTGTTCGATCGGCTCCGAAAGCACGCAATTCTCTCTCTCCAACCTCTCTTCTTCCTCCCCCTTTCCATCGGTCTCCCATGGCCTGGGTGTCGGCCGCGTAGTTCTGCGTGTCCAGCAGGTGCTCGTGCCACACCAAATCCTCTCAACCGAAGGGCCCCCCGGGCACCGGGCGCGGGGAGAGAGCCCCTGAAAGCCCAGGCTGCGGAACATTGTAACGTAAGACGAAGACAGGACGAACATAACATCGGCCCCTCCTCCTCATCATCCTCCTCTCCCTTTTTCTCCTCCTCCTCCTCCTCCTCCGCCCTCTTCTTTCTCCGTCCTCCTCCTCCTCCTCCTCCTCCTCCTGCTCCGCCTCCTCCTCCTCCGCCTCCGCCTCCTCCGCCTCCTCCTCCTCCTTCTTCCCCTCCTCCTCCGCCTCCTCCTCCTCCCATTAGGGCTCGCGGCCGAGAGCTTCCAAGGTTGCACTCAGCCTCTTGCCCACAGCCTGGAAGCCCTGGGGCTGCCTTTTGCGAGGAGCGCTCCTGGAGGCCGCTGCCAGGGCCTTCCCTATGGAAATGCCAGCAACATCCTCGGCCAGGGGCAACTCTGGCGTGTGCCAGCCCCACATCCCTCATTCAATACATCTATATATATATATATATATATATATATATATATATATATACATACATACACATACGAATATATACACATATATATATATATATATATATATATATATAAATATCTGTGTGTGCTAGAACCATCGCCCGCGCGCTTCGCGCGCGCTAGATTCTAGCCAGGCTGGATGGTCGAACTCTTGATGATCTCTGTTTTATGATACGTCTCTTCCGGGCTTTCCAAAAGACACGGAGATGGCTCAAGTGGCTTCCAAGACTGTCTACGGGCCACCCACGGCGGCCTAGGACAAGACCACAAGGCACTTCGGGGGCCTTCTAGTCGCCGCGGCTGGACGTAGCCGGAGGAAAAGAACGGAGGAGGTGAAGGGTTCCCTGGGGGAGAAGGAGGAGGATGAGGAGCTGAAGAGGGTGGAGGAGGCCGCAGAGGATGAGGAACAGGATCGGGGGCCTTCTAGTCGCCGCGGCTGGACGTAGCCGGAGGAAAAGAACGGAGGAGGTGAAGGGTTCCCTGGGGGAGAAGGAGGAGGATGAGGAGCTGAAGAGGGTGGAGGAGGCCGCAGAGGATGAGGAACAGGATGAGGAGGACGAGGAGGAGGGAGAGGAGGAGGATAGTATTGATATATATATATATATATATATATATATATATGTTTTCGTCTTCAAATATTTTTGCAAGCCCGGGGGGGGGGACACCGTCCCCCCCCCCCCCCACAAAAAAAAAACTGGATCCCCGGGATCTGGGGTTCTCGGGCTCCCTTGGACGTCCTTGGAAAAAGGTCACCCGGCTTTCCGGGTCTCCACAAACGCCTTGCCAGCAGACCCATAGCGATCAGAGGGGTCATCAGAAAGGCTCAATGGAGGCCCCAGACAGCACAAGAGCGCTCCAAGAGGGACCCCAAGTGCCCCAGGACGGCCCAAAAGACCCCCAAGGCACCCCAGTATCCTGCGACGTACCCAACCCTTTCTACACAAGTGACAATTGCATTCAGGACCATTCAATACCGAAGGACATTTCGGCGCCATGGTATAGCGGTGATCTGCGTAGGACGTACCTCCGCTGAGCCTCCCAGAAACCCATGCGCGCCAGGTGAGCCAAGCGCGCCAGGCGCGCCAGGTGCGCCAGGTGCGCAAGGTGCGCCAGGCGCGCCAGGTGCGCCAGGTGCGCCAGGTGCGCCAGGCGGGCCAGGCGCGCCAGGTGCGCCAGATGCGCCAGGCGCGCCAGGTGCGCCAAATGTGCGCCAGGTGTGCGCCAGGCGTGCGCCCGGTATGCCAGGTGCGCAAGGTGCGCCCAGCGCGCCAGGTGCGCCAGGTGCGCCAGGTGCCTCAGATGCGCCAGGCACGCCGGGTGCGCCAAGCGCGCCAGGTGCGCCAGGTGAGCCAAGCGCGCCAGGCGCGCCAGGTGCGCCAGGTGTGCGCCAGGTGTGCGCCAGGTGTACGCCAGGTGTGCACCAGGTGTGCGCCAGGTGTGCGCCAGGTGCGCCAGGTGCGCCAGATGCGCCAGGTGCGCCAGGTGCGCCAGGTGCGCCCGGTGTGCCAGGTGCGCAAGGTGCGCCTAGCGCGCCAGGTGCGCCAGGTGCGCCAGGTGCGCCAGGTGTGCCAGGTGCGTCAGGCCAGCGCACCAAGTGCACCAGGTGCGCGCCAGGTGCTCCCAGCGCGCCAAGTGCGCCAGGTACATCAGGTGCGCGCCAGGTGCGCGCCAGGTGCGCGCCAGGTGCGCGCCAGGCGCGCGCCAGGTGCGCCAGTTGTGCCAGATGTGCGCCACGTGTGCGCCAGGTGCGCGCCATGTGCGCCAGTTGCCCCAGGTGTGCCAGGTGCGCCAGTTGCGCCAGGCGCAGGTGAGCCAGGTGCGCCAGGTACGTACGCCAGGGCGCCACAGGTGCGCCAGGTGCGCCAGGTGCGCCAATGCGACAGGTGTGCCTGGTGTGCGCCAGGTGCTGCGCGTCAGGTGCGCCCAGCGCGCCAGGTGCGCCAGGTGCGCGCCAGGTGCGCGCCAGGTGGGCGCCAGGTGCGCCAGGTGCGCCAGGTGCGACAGGTGCGACAGGTGCGCGCCAGGTGCGTCAGGTGCGCCCAGCGCGCCAGGTGCGCCAGGTGCGCGCCAGGTGCGCGCCAGGTGGGCGCCAGGTGCGCCAGGTGCGCCAGGTGCGACAGGTGCGACAGGTGCGCGCCAGGTGCGTCAGGTGCGCCCAGCGCGCCAGGTGCGCCAGGTGCGCGCCAGGTGCGCGCCAGGTGGGCGCCAGGTGCGCCAGGTGCGCCAGGTGCGACAGGTGCGACAGGTGCGACAGGTGCGCCAGGTGCGCCAGGTGCGCCAAGTGCGCGCCAGGTGCGCCCAGCGCGTCAGGTGCGCCCAGCGCGCCAGGTGCGCCAGGTGCGCGACAGGTGCGCCAAGGGGGCAGGGAGGCCCCTCAGTGGTCTGCGTAAGACGTACCTGCGCTGGGCCTCCCAGGAACCCACGAAAGTGGCGACAGTTGCGCAGATCGCAGCCCCGCAGGGGACAGGGAGGCCTCAAAGTGATCTGCGTATGACGTACCTCCGCTGGGCCCCCCTGGATCCCACGAGTGTGGCGACAGTTGCGCAGATCGCAGCCCCGCAGGGGACATGGAGACCTCAAAGTGATCTGCGCATGACGTACCTCCGCTGGGGCCTCGCAGGATCCCACGAAAGTGGCGACGTTGCGCAGATCGCAGCCCCGCAGGGGACAGGGAGGATTCAAAGTGATCTGCGTCTGACGTACCTCCGCTGGGCCTCCCAGGAATCCACGAAAGTGGCGACAGTTGCGCAGATCGCAGCCCCGCAGTGGACAGGGAGGCCTCAACGTGATGGCCTCAAAGTTATCTGCGTCTGACGTACCTCCGCTGGGCCTCCCAGGAACCCACGAAAGTGGCGACAGTTGCGCAGATCGCAGCCCCGCAGGGGACAGGGAGGCTTCAAAGTGATCCGCGTATGGCATACCTCCGCTGGGCCTCCCAGGAACCCACGAAAGTGGCGACAGTTGCACAGATCGCAGCCCCGCAGGGGACAGGGAGGCTACAAAGTGATCTGCGTATGGCGTACCTCCGCTGGGCCTCCCAGGAACCCACGAAAGTGGCGACAGTTGCGCAGATCGCAGCCCCGCAGGGGACAGCCAGGAACCCACGAAAGTGGCGACAGTTGCGCAGATCGCAGCCCCGCAGGGCACCGCGAACACAGGAGAGAAGAAGGAGGAGCGGGCGGAAGGTGGATACCACAGTTCTCTTTTCAAAACGAGTGCCCAACACAAGGAGGGTTTGGAAAAAAGCTTTCCAAGGGGCCTTCAAAACACAAAATTCGCACTCCTTTCGTAAAACTTACAAGTTTAGCAGATTCGCCTTTCGGATTTCATCAGCTTTCAAGACGGCTTCAAAGCCCCCGAGATCGCCTCAAGACGCCCCAAGAGGCCCCCAAGGAAGCTTCAAGACGGCCGAGCCGGGGCCCACGATCGCCCACGAGAGCCCCAAGACAGCCCTTAATGGACCCAAGAGGCCCCCCAAGGGCTCCCAGCACAGACCCAAAAGGGCCATGGGAGGTGCCCAGAAGTGCCCAAGCAAAAGGGGTTCCAGCGAGCCCAAGCTCCCCAAGACGGCCCAAGAAGGCCCCAGGACGGCCCATGAAGGCGCCAAAACGGCCCACGAGGGCTCCGAAAACACCCCCACGATGTTTCCGAATGCCAACATTCATTGATTTTGCTCCCATGACATTCCGCATTGTGACCCAGTCTTTGACGGTCTCGTGGCATGCAGCGAAGATGCCCGAGGATGCCCCTAACTTTTACAAGATGATCGTGAGGCCTCCAGGGGTCCCAGAAGCCCCTGAGAGGCAATCGACTCCTACGCGCGCATTCCCTTGAATTGGCAATCTACATACATATATATGCATATACACATACATGGCTATATGTATACATATGGGCGTGCACCGACAAAGCACGTACCAATTGCATATGCATGTTCAGACCATTGCACACATAAATTTATATGTACATATGTACGCTGTAGACACACACGCAACAATGTACATAGATTGTATACACCTAGACATATATACGGAACGTGCATGCGCGTGCGCGTGTATACATGCATGCGCGCATGTACGCAATGTACGCACGCACGCATTCCGCTTGCGTGCGGAACTCAAAGGACCAAGGTGCATGGCGCGCAGCGCCAATGCAGTCTTGTATACATATCTATATATAGATATGGCAATCCTAGCGGAGCTGCCAAGCGAACTTGAAACACCACTCCTCTTGTTCTAGTGCCCTCGGGACTTCCCGTGGAGCTCTTATGGGCATGCTTAAGGCTTCTTAAACACATCTTGAGGCTTCCTGGGGGTCACCTGGGGCGAAGATATCGGGTTCTCGGGTCACGTTCCCACTCCTGGGCCGCGGTTGGGGACCTCTAGGGCTGTCTTAGGCGTCTGTTCGGCCGTTTTGGAGCCGTCTTGGGGCGCTTTTGAAGCCTACTGGGCCGGGGTGATCCTCGGGGCCTCTTGGGGCCTCGGGGTCTCTCGGGGGGAGGGGGGCAGGCGGAAACGTCGAACTTGCTCAACAACGTATCTTGGACGCCTCGTGGGTATCTTGGGGGCCTCTTGGGCCTTCTGGAAGCCGTCTTGGACTGTCTAGTGGGCTTCGGCCCATCCCGCCACAGTGCCTGGGTTGTGGGTTAGAGGCTACTTGGAAACTCGTCTTGATAACGTTAAGAACCTCTCGGGGGCCTCTTGGAAGCAGTTTGGGAAGCCTCTTGGGGGCCGTCTGGCGGCCTCTTCTTAGACCTCTCGGGGACCTCGTGGGGCCTCGCGGGGGCCTCTTGGGATCTCTTAAGGGCCTCTCCGGGCCTCCAGGGGGCCTCTTGGGGCGGGAGGCTCGAATTGTCGGTTCGCGTTCTCCCTCTTAGGCCCCTCTTTGGGCCATCTTACCTCTTGGGCTGTTTTGACGATCTCTTGCACAATCTTGGGGCCTTGGGCCGTCTTGGGGCGGTGTTTGGGGCGTCTGGGGCCATTCTGGAGCGTCGGCAGCTAAGCAACGCGAGGACGCGAAACACATGGAAACACACATGGGAAATCACAGGCTTGTGCCCATTGGGCCCCCTTGGGGGTCCTCTTCGAGCGCTCTTGGGGCGTCTTTGGGGCCTCACAGTCCGTCTTTGGGCCATCTTGGGCGTTTCGGAGCGCTCTTGGGCTGTCTTGGAAGCCTCTTGGACCCGATTGTGCGATTTCTGGTGCCCTCTGGCCTCTCTGGGCCGCCTCTGGGAAGCGAGCCCGGCGGGCAGCAACAAGCGTCCTCGAATGGCTGCGCACTGTGTGCCCCCAGACCGGGGAGGGGAGTCAACATATTATGATTACTATTGTCGGTGTTATTATGAATATTATTTGTAATGTGATAATCAATATGATTGCTTCAACTATCATCCACATGCTTAGTATTGTTATCATTCGTATGGGTATGTATAGTAACCTCAGTTCTTGTATGACGATGGTGAGTATGAATAGTCACAACTCCGCCTAGTTTAATTTGTAGAATCCTTATTCGTACTGCCATCCATACTATATACATGTATACATGTATATACATACATATGTCTGACCATACACACATACATACACACACGCACTGCGACGCACTCTGACGAGGCCATCACGAGAATCAGCTCGGGTGGGGAAACAAAATCGATAATCTCTGATATGCGGCGGCTCTGAAGCATGTCTCGGGCGCCGCGGCCTTTTCCGAGCGTTCCCGAACGCTCTGAGAGCGTTCCGGAAAGCCCCAGCGGGAAGGTCCTCATGGCACCGCCGCCCCATGTCGGCACACCTCTCACACGCTGCGTGGCCCTGCAGTGAGCTCCACTCAGGGCCCCAGCGGGAGGGTCCGCATGGAACCGCCGCCCCACTTCGGCACACCCCTCACACGACTCGTGGCCCTTATAGGTAGCTCCACGGAAGGCCCCAGCGGGAGGGTCGGCATGGCACCGCCGCCCCATGCCAGCAGCTCGCACTCAGGCACATACACTCGCTCCTGCGCAGACTCATTCACAATCAGACGCGCTCTCGATCAGACTCACACGCGCTCAATCTCTCGTTCGTGTCGTGTACCCCGCCCCGCCGCCCATGTCGGCACACCCCTTACGCGGTTCGTGGTCCCATAGGTAGCGCCACCGAAGATGATATTCACAATTGCGGGACTCACATATGCATATGGCTGGGTCTTTCGCCGGGCTAATTGTTGCAATGTTCCCTGAGACCACCTCCCACTGGGAACGGAGGGCAAATCAAAGCCTTCGGGTAGGGTTGGGGTGGTTTGGCTGGTGGCGAACAACCTGGTTCAGTGCTCCCCTGGCCCTGCAGGATCCTGCAAGATCTGGCGCTCTGGATGACCCCCGTTTGCGTGGACCCCCGTCTCTTGAGCCCCGACTATCCCTCCCTAGCGCTGCCAAATATCCTCGAGCGTAAGAGAAGAGTCCCAGCACCGTCTTCCTCGCCGGCCGAACAACGGGCCGTGCGACCTGATGTCGAACGCACCAGGCAACATCTCGCAGCCTGCCTTCTGCCATGAGCGCGTCGAGCTTTACAAGCTCGCGGTGAAAGAACATGTCGCTCACAACAGGCAGCAGAGAAGATCTGGGTGAGGCCTTGGGGCCAAGATGCGAGGTGGGGCAACTCGGGAGCGACGTCACACACGAGGAAACGCTGCCCCGTATCCCACTGCCACCGCTACTCGGCCTCCCCCCCTCCCACAAATGCGCTCCAAATTAGGAAACCGAACCCTGTACACCGATGTTTTTTCCGGTCCCGCACTGAAAACGGACCATGGTGTAGACGGCATCCTGGTGTGGACGGCATCCTGGTGTATACATTTTTTGTTGTTTCCAGTGGAAAACGGGCAAACAAGTGTACACCACACCACCCCGACGTCGTCCCCGACCCTCAAAAAGGCGTGGGATTGAAAAAACAACCCAACACTGGTGATGTATATGCCCCCGTTTCCGACAAATGGGGTCCACGTCGTCCGAAGCGACCAGCTCCATCCGCGGCGCGGAGGCCAACAACTGCAAGAACCGCAAATACTCCGCGATGGCGCCGTCCGCACGCGGGCCAGGCCAGCCGTGCTCCTCGGGGGGGGCCTGGGCTGGGAAGCGACTGCTCTCGAGAAGGCTTCGCAAGATCCTCCTCCTCCTCCTCCTCCTCCTCTTTCTCCTCCTCATCCCCTTTTCCTTCTCCTCCTCCGCCTCTTCCGCCTCCTTCTCCTCATCCTGCGCCTCCTCCTCCTCCTTTTCTTTCTCCTCCTCCTCTTCCTCCTCCTCCTCCTCCTCCGCCCCCCCTTCCTCCTCCTCCTCCTCCTAATTACTCCTCCTCCTCCTCCTCCTCCTCCTCCTCCTCCTCCTCCTCCTCCTCCTCCTCCTCCTCCCCCCCCCCCTCCTCCTCCTCCTCCTCTCCTCCTCCTCCTCCTCCTCCTCCTCCTCCTCCTCCTCCTCCTCCTCCTCCTCCTCCTCCTCCCCCTTCCTCCTCCTCCTCCTCCTCCTCCTCCTCCTCCTCCTCCTCCTCCTCCTCCTCCGCATCTCAGCCACAAGGCCCTTTTCAGCTGGATTGGGATGGATCGGACCTTGGAGTCACCCGTCGAAATAAGGCTGGGCCAAGCAAGGTGGGATTCAACAAGGCCTCGCCAAACTAAGCAGACCATAGCAGGGTCAACCGTGCTTCTAGGTGAGAGGCAGTGGTAACCGGGACCAGCCCAATGGAGGAAATGCCGACCATGACTCGGCAATACGTCGCCGACGGATCGACGATAACTCCGCGATAACGAGTTCGTACGCTCTTGGGCGGGGTGGGCTATAGGGTCCCCATCGGCGATCAATGGGCGCCCCCGGGCTGGGAGGTACCAGGTGATCTAGCTTCGCGCATCGCGCCCCGCGGTGCGCGATCATCTTCGCGTCATCGCGCCCACGATTGCCGCGCGCCGGGAACCAGAAACGACAGATAATCTAGGCAATGTTCGGCATTCGGAGGCCCACGACTACACGTAGGAGTGACCCTAGGCTCAAGTGACCTTTGGTGCGCGGCTTCAGGGGCGCCCGTGGGGGCCCAACGCAATCGTGCAAGCCGGCGTTGCCGCGCCGCATCAACGATCGGCGGGGCGCCGCTCGAAAGATCTTTTGCGCCAGCAGGCAACCGCGGAATTCCGCCGATTGAATTCGCGTGCCCCGAATGGCACTTCGAAGCGCCTGCGAAAGCAGACGCTGCCTTGGGCCACTGCGATGAGGTCTGGCACTGCCGGGCTGCATCGTGATGACGTCTGACCAGGCCCGGCGCCATGGCCAAAACCGGCCCCATCTGAGAGCCCGGAATATGTTTGAATATCTTTGGGTAACTTATCAAAGTAGAGATCTAGATTGGTTCGAAAACGTATTCAAAGATATTCCAAGATACTCAAACATATCCAAAGATATCCTACGATATTCAAACCAAACGTGTTGGAATTTGGGCTGGGATTCGGGACTGGTCCTGGGCCGGAAAACGCGCCGTCTGGTAGACCGGCTCCCGCTCGGGCAACCAATGCAAGCTCTAGGGTTCGACGCGTCTGCGATGCTGCCGATTGCAAGGGGTGGGCCCAAACTTGGCGCGCTCAGATGCGAGCGTAATAACGCGATGCGGGTGCCGACGCAAGCAAAATATTATGACACCCTTTGGGCCAGCACCAAAGGTCACTCTGGCGAAGGGCCACTCTTACGTGTGGTCGAGGCCCTCGCCGGGCCCGCGGCCGTCAACGAAACGGCCCAGGATGAGAAACCGGCCCCGGGGGAACGGTTCAGACTTCCGCGGGTCCCCTTGATGAGACCTTTCACGACGTCGGATGTCTGGGTGTAGGGTACAGGTGACCCCACCGACGCGCGATCATTCTTGCGCCATCTGGCCCAAGCTGGGACGTGCGAGCCGCCATGATCTTCGCGCCGCCGCGGGTGCTTCAGGGGCTTTGTGGGCCCCGGAAACGGCAGGGCCGTTTTTTTTACAATTTTCAAAAAAAATGTCCCTTGAAAATGGAAACGGCAAAAAAACGGCGACCGGAAACGGCAAAAAAACGGCTCCAGGATTGGAACCGGAGCCAAAACCGGTCAAAAAACGCAGACGGAACCGGTAAAGAAACAGCGTCGGAACCGGCAAAAAACAGCAAAACGGAACCGGTAAAAAAACGGCCCTGTCGTTTCCAGGGCCCACTAAGTTCAGGGGCATGGGATCGGGAGTCGCCGGGCCGAGCAGAAGGGCGGTCGAGATCTCTTGGCAAAGGCCTTGGAGGCTTTCGAACCGCTCCGGAGCCGGCCGCGTCAGTCGCGCTCCTCAGGGCAGGAAGTCGGGGTTCGCCGGCCCGATCGCAAGGGCGTTCGACGCTTCTTGGAGGGCTCTCGGGTCGGGTCGGGCGCGCCGAAGAGGCGACGGCACAGAAGGGGCACCGCTGCGCATCGTGGCCCGATGCGTGCGCGCGGACAGCGGGAAATGCCAGGGCACGTATTGAGAGATGAAAAGGGCGCCGTGAAATCTAGGAGGTCTCGCTGCTTCACACACCCCGAACCCTCCATCGCCCGTCTTGAGATACACTCGGTCGAATATGGCAAACCCGACCGCCCCAGAATCTCCAAAACATCTTCCCGCGACTTTCCCAGAACCTCCAATCCACAAACAAGTTCTCCACGAATGTTCAAAACAATGCGCCTTTTAAAAATGAAACGAAATCTTGGAGAACTCCTCGCCCTTTCAACATCTCCGTAACATCTACAACGACGCTCTCCATCAAAATTCTCCGCGTCTTGAGAACCCCAAGAAATCGCCACATAGTCTGCGATAGATTTCGCCCAAGGGAGCCCGTAAACAAAACAACGGACTGACCTTGCTGGGTCCGCGCGCAAGATATCCCAGCGTGCTGTCGCTCGAGATGCAGAGCCGGAAGCGGCGTCGGGGACGCCATGGGACCGGGGGGGGGGGCGGGTCGGATCATGAGCACGTTGGAGGGCGAAGACAAGAGAAAGGAGAGGAATAAAGGGAAATTAGGACACACAAATAAATACACACAAATAAAAATATTCCCCATATTTTCCCATATTTTCTGAATTTTTGTCTTCCCCCCCACTTCCCATATTTTTGCATATTTTCCTGGGAGTCGACGATTAATTGTGTCTGTGTGCTTCTTTTCCCCCTGAAGGAAGGAGGAAGGAGGCGGAGCAAGAGGAGGCAGAACAAAACATGCGTCGTGGAACAGGAGGAGTGGGAGGATATACGCATCCAGGAAGCATTTGTTCGCATCCACCTCTGCAATCCCTGTGGGCTACGTGCGTCCTCCTCCTCCTCCTCCTCCTCCTCCTCGTCTCTCCTCCTTCTAGTCCTCCGCCCCCTCGTCCTCCTCGGGCTTTGCCAATGAAACTCGAGCCCAACATTGGCACAGGTCTCGTATCTGGTTCTCTCTCTCTCTCTCTCTCTCTCCTCTCCTTCTCATATTCATGCAAATACTTGAAAGGAAAAAGGTAAGCCGCCTATCCACGGGGATCTCCCGCTGGCGGAAAAATCAAACTTGATTCGATGCCACATACCATCCTTCACAGCGGCGCGCCTAATACATTCCGCAACCGTGCCCTCGGGCACGAACTGGAGTGTCCTCAGGTCCCTCACTCAATCCGCTGCGCCCGACCCTCCAATCCTTAAAATTCCTGAGGACCCCCCGCCCGAAGTGACTGGAAATTCTTGGGCATGGCGCGTGCCCCTCGGACCCCAGGGAGTGCTGTCGCGTGACTTCTCAGAGGCTTAAGGGGTCGCAACGAGCAGCGGAGAGTGGTCCAGGAGGCGATCAATGCGAGCGCTGCCAGACGCCCAAGATGGCGCGGCGATGGCTGAACGAAGCCTTCCAGACGCCCTCATATATCCCAAAGAAGCGTCCCAAGAGCGGCCAAGGAGGCCGACATCATGGATACCTATAGTGTGTTACCAATGTGTTTAACGTGTTTTCGACGTTCCGCGCCGCCAGTTGCTAGGGCGAGGTCGGAGTTGACAGCCCCTGCGCTCCCTTGAATCCTTGAACCCCTTGGATTTCCTGGTTTCGCTCGGCCCCGTAGTTCCCAGGTTCCCTACACTACCTGAGGGGCGCCCTGAACTCCCTAGACTGGAACGGGCTCTGAGGCATATGGGAACCCCTCGGCCACTTCACCCCCTCGGCGCCATGCGTTCTCTGGACGCCCTTGCCTCCTCGGACCATCTGGGCCCGCCGGACGCCAGACTCCTGGACCTCTCGACCTCCAAAACATGCTGAGCCACTTAGATTAAGAGGAGTTGACAAAATGGGCCTGGCGAGAGACCCAGCCATATACATACCGCGACTGTCAGTATCTCTTTCGGTGGCGCCCCCTGCAGGGGCACCCATCGTTTGAGGGGTGTGCCGACATGGGTGGGGGGGGACGCGTGTACACACCACCGCTGGTGTCTTGGGTGGAGCTCAATATGGAGCCACGGAGCGAGCGAGGGGCTTGTCAGTATCATCCCCGGTGGACTCCTTTACGTGGCCACGAATCGTGTGAGGGGTGTGCCGACACGGGCGGGGGGGACGCATGCGAGCGGCGCCACTGGGGCCTTCAGTGGAGCTCCCTATGGGGCCACGAAGCATGTCAGGGATGTGCCGAAATGGGTGGCGCGGACGCATGCGAACGTCGGCACCCTGACACAACTCGCGGAACATGATGCCTGTCACAACAATGTCGGAAGGCCGCTCGAGAAGCCACTCCAAACCATCTTAGCTTGGAAAAGTGGCATTGAACTTGAGGCCATTATCCCAATGCTTGTTGCCACTCAGGCTTCCGGCGCGGGCGTCAAACGACCTAGGTCGCACTCTTACTTGGAAGACTGACTGCAGCCACGTACCAGGGCCAACCGGAGCAAACTTAGCGAGGACAGGGTGTGCAGCATACTCAATTGATGGACTCACGTAAGGGGTTGTCTTGCTAGGACTGTCTGCTGCTCACCCATGTGCGACTTCACGCGTTGAGGCAGGAGCCTGAAATCCTTCAGCTGCAATGCGAACTGCCTCTGCCAACGAAGTGCCGTGATGCCACGGGCCAAAGTCGACGAATGCCTCGGTCGGCCTTCACTGACACGCCCTGCCATCCGCATGACCTGAAGCACTTGTGAGTGCCGCGATCGCCGTAGTTCCCTGGACGCAGGGAGAAACATCTGGAATACTTCCTCTCCACGCGATTCTCCAAACATGCTGCCACGTCTTCAGCGCGGTTCAGTTCGGAAATGCTCCACCTCTCGGCAAGAACTCCACCTGCAGACAACGACAAGGCATTACCCATCGAGCTCGCCAAACGGTTGACAGGAGGACGGTAAGCGATTGAAGTATACGTTTAAGGCAAGACTTGATTGGTGCTTACACTTTCGATCGCACAACAACCTGCCCTTTTTGCTATTCTGGATTCGCACCTCGGTACCCAGCCACGTCCATCTCGCAGTCGCAAGAACTCTTCCCAAAACACTCATGCGACGTGACTCACTTCGAACACTTCGCCAACCTCGAGCCATTCGCCTGTAGACGATCCATAATGTGGAGAGAGAGAGAGAGAGAGAGAGAGTGGCAACGGCCTGTTATGCCTGGGCGCTTACCAGAACATCTTCATAACTTCCAGATCTGATGGGCTCCCAACCCAGTCTTCTTGCGATGGGAACTCGACTCGCTTTCGAACCACGCCTATCTCGTCCGGCGAGATTTGGCCCCAACCAAATTTGGGCTTTGCGACTCGGACGTCTGGCCGAATCATCACCACGCAACCCTTGTTGCATTGATTCTCTGGTTTGGCACGACCTTCATCACTCAACGAGTCAACATCGCTGCTGAGATTACGTGGCTCGCTCACATCTAGCTGGGCTAGGCAGACATGTCTGCGACCGCGGTTGCCCGGAAGAGAGGCGTTGCGCCCAGGGCGAAGCCCACCGACAGAGCCTCCTCCTCCTCCTCCTTCGCCTCCTCCTCCTCCTCCCCTTCATCCTCCTCCTCCTCCTCCTCCTCCTCCTCCTCCTCCTCCTCCTCCTCCTCCCATAAGACGAAAACAGCGATAGGATAGACTCGGATGAGGATACATCGGGGATTTCGGCCACGGCCGCGCCAGAGCGCTCCAGAACTGCCCCGGGGGCGTTCTGGAAGCCTCCGGGGCCAAAACACGAAATCCTCTGACCTGCCCGAGGAGCACTCCAAGAGGCCCCCGTCGGCAAGCCTCGCCCTCGCCCCAGCCCTGCCGGCTGGCAAGAGACCTGGAGGAGGAGCTCAAAGGGCAGGGGCAGAGGAGGAGGAGGAGGAGGAGGAGGAGGAGGAGGAGGAGGAGGAGGAGGAAGAGGAGGAGGAGGAGGAGGAGGAGGAGGAGGAAGAGGCTCAGGAGGAGGATGAGGCTCAGGAGCTCAAAGGGCCCAACAGCCGGCCAAGGCCGGCACCGACGACCACCCTCGCAGAGGTGCAGGCGCGGGCGGTGCGCCCCGTGGCGCGCCGCCCTCCGCTCTTCACGGCGCCGGAGCAAGGAGGGCGCGAGGAGCTCGGCGGGAAGATGTGGGTGGATGGACGTTTTTTTTGCTTGGTATATTATTATTATTATTCGTATTATTAGTATTATTAGTATTAGTATTATTATTATTCGTATTATTATTAGTATTATTATTATTATTGTTATTATTATTATGCTTTTGTTTTTTGATCTCATCCCGTGCGTGGTGACTGCAGCGCAATCGGCTGGCAACCGAACGCTACTCACAGGCTCACAGGCCCGTGTGGCGACAGGCGCCTCGGGGACGGATGCAAGGCGTGAGATCGACCAGACAGCGAGCATCACGTCATCTCCTGCCGTCGCTCGGACGTCCATTTCCCGTGCACTTCTCAGTCTCGTGCGTGTTTTTTTGGCTCGATGGTCCAGGCTGGTCCTCGATGGTTCTCACCGAGAAAGAATGCGCACGTCCGAGCGATGCCGAGATCCTCGCCAGGACAGAGGCGGGTGTTGCTAGAAGTGCCCCTGGCCCAAGGTACGCCAAGCTTTTCGCTTCATTTTTGGGCCCCTGGGGCCCTCTGAGCCTCGTTAGGGGTGCTCTGGAGGCCGTCTGGGCTACCCCGAGAATCCTGGGGGCACCTTGGGCCAGGGGCACTTCTAGCAACACCCGACAGGAGGAGTCCTCCCGGCCCGACGCGCGACGGTCCCAAGGCCCGGTGGAGGCTCCCAAGATCCAGCCCGAGAACTGGGAAACCAGCCTTCCGACATGCGTTGTCTTTTTTTTGAGCAGGGACCGACCGTCCCAACATTCCTATAGTCCTACCCAAAAGTGTTCTAATATAAAAAAATGTTCTTAGAACATCGACCCGATGTGTTCAAACAAAGCAGACTTCGCCAGAAATGTTCTAAGAACATTTCGTGGGAACCGCAAGAGATCTTAGAACATTGTTCATTGTTTGGTAGGGCTATAGGCGAGCCGACACGCTTCACCACTGCTTGAAGAACTGGGAAACCAACCTTCCGACAGGCGCTGTCTTTTTTCTGCACGACGCTGAGGGCCTGAGGGACTTTGGACGGAAGAGAATTAAGAACACCCAGAATAGATCCCGAACGTAGCCAAAACTGATGAAGGATTATTTCTGAGCGCTCCCCCTGTAGAGGGGCAGGCCCGGCTTACGCCCAAGGGGGCTGGACCCCTGCCTTCTCGGGGCAGCAGGGCTGAACCTAAACGGTGGTTGTCGTGTTCGTTTTGCTTTCGTTTTCCCTCGTCTTGTCCTCAATCCACCTCTATATCGCAAAACGAAGCCGAAACGAACACGGCCCATGAAATCGCCAGGGAACCGGAAAGGTACCGATACTGCTACTCCCTGGACTTCTCCTGGGGTGCGTCCCGACTAGGCTTTCGGGGCGAGTCCAGCGGTGGCGACGAGGGAGGCCCAGGAGGCCCCAAAAGGGGAAAACGAGGGGAGAGTAAAGCTATGGGAGCCTCTTCCTCCTCCGAAGAAAAAAGAAACAACAACACTGTTCGGGGATGGACAGAACCCCCTTTAGTAAAACGTGGTTTAGTGAAAACGACCTGAGGCCCAAACCTGGCGGGCGCGAGCCTGGAAAATAACGGCCACGGCGCCCTCTCGAGAACCGAAAACGGACAATTCACTAATCGACGTGTCACTGTTGGGGGTTCTGTCCACCCCCGAACTGCTTAGGTTTGAGGTCCAGCCCTGCGGGGCAGCCGCGCTCTCTGGCGAGAGCCGCGGCCGCGGCGGCCACCGCAAAAACCCAACGTGAGCGAGCAACGACATATGTACATGTACGCCCTCCGCGGTCTTGAGTGCAAGAACGTCCTCGTTCAAACGCCCCCCAGGGGAAGCTAACCGCGTACGTGTACATATGTTGCTGGCCTCTGACAACGGGAGCCGGAGGGCCACGCCGCGGGCGGGCGGCGCCAGGGAGGCGCGGCGGAGGCGGCGGAGGCGGCGTCCTCTGGCGGTGCGCACCAGGGGGACAGGGAGGGAAGGGACAAGGAGGGAGGAGGAGGAGGAGGAGGAGGAGGAGGAGGAGGAGGAGGAGGAGGAGGAGGAGGAGGAGGGGAGGAGGAGAAGGAGGAGGAGGAGGAGAGGAGGAGGAGGAGGAGGAGGAGGAGGAGGAGGAGGAGGAGGAGGAGGAGGACAGGGGGGGAGGGCTTCCTGGAAGGAGGCTGCTTCTTCGAAGGCGCCGGCCTCACACCAGTAGAATCTGTAGACAAGGCCTGCGCCTTCTAAGAGGCAAGGGGTGCTTCGATAAGAAGCCCTGCCCCCCCCCCCCCGCCCCCCCTCTGCGCGGGGCTGGCGTCCTCCATGACGCGCTCGCGCAGGAACGCGTGGTCGCTCAGCGCGCCTCTGCCAGGGGTGACCGCGCCCCTCCCCGCGCGGACCTCCCCAGTCGCGACAGGAATGATTATAGACAGAGCGTCTCTGGCCATATGCTCGGCCTGCTGGGGCCTTCGCCGTTTAAACTGCCCAGTGTGGAAAACTGGTCCTGGGAGAAGGGGTCCAAACCTGGGCTGGACCTAGAAGTTTTTTTTTTGTTATGCTTTCGTTATGTGTTTCGTTGTGCTCTGCCTGTTTTCCTGTACCTCACTTCCAAAAAAACACAGGCCGAATGCCAGCAAAACAGCGTGTAGGTCCAGCCCTGGTCCAAACCTCTGAGGGTCCACGCCATGAAGTGACGGGCCTGTTCTCCACCACCACCACCACCAAAAGTTGGAGGAGGACGAGGAGGAGGACGAGGAGGAGGACGACGAAGAGGAGGAGGAGGACCCCCTCCCCCTCCAACTTATGGTGGTGGTGGACAACAAGCCCTTACTGAAAAAAAGACATGCCGTCGGGGGGTCTGGGTGGGCCCCTTCCTCCGAGGGGCCATGGCCACCTCCCACCGCCTCCCTCTCTCGGTGATCCTCAGAACGCGTGTTGGCGCCAACGTGCGCTTGCCCACTGAGGCCCTTCACTACGACGACGGCGATGTCACGACCGACTGGTTGGGTTGAACGGGGTCAACCCACATTGGGCTAACACACGTCCCGAGGATCATCGACTCTCCCGGGGGGGGGGGGGGGCGTACTTGTGCAGGCCCGCGCGGAACTTTTCCCATGCCGCGTGCTTGCGCTGGCGGCGTGGTCTGGCGAGGCGCGAGCGCGGCAGGCCTGCCCGGCACAACTGCCCCTGCAAGGAGGTCCCAAAGCCCCCAAAGATCTCCAGGGAGGTCCCCAAAGCCTCCCAACATCGGCGGCTCGCCGAAGGGGGCAGGAATTCTCAAAAGGCCGCGATGCTTCTCGACATCCGCCCAGCCTTCTGGATCCCCCCCTCTGAGCAGGGGCCGACCGTCCCGGCATTCCCACATGCCTACGACGACATGTTCTCAGAACCCAGAAATGTTCTAAGGAAGCCGCAATGTTCTTAGGACATGCACCGGATGTATTCCAACGAGTCGGTCGCAGCCAGAAATGATGTTCCAAGGACACTTCGTGCGGACCACAAGAAGGACCTCAGAACAGAGTTTGGTAGGCCTATAGGCACGCCAGGACGCTTCGCCACTGCCGGATCCTGCGGCGAAGAAGGCTCAGCAAACTGTTCCAAAGGCGGGAGCCCCTTCCGGGCCTTCTGGGGAGGCCCGGAGGAGGAAGAGGAGGGGGAGGAGGAGGGGGAGGAGGGGGAGGAGGGGGAGGAGGGGGAGGAGGGGGAGGAGGAGGAGGAGGAGGAGGAGGAGGAGGAGGAGGAGGAGGAGGAGGGGGAAGAGGAGGAGGAGGAGGCCCGCCTGCTCTGCCTTCCCCTCCTCGGCGCGCCGCCAGAAAAAAAAGCGGGCCAAGGCCCACTGCCGCCGAGCAGAGGCCCGAGCAGCAGAAGCGGGCCTCCGAGCCTGGCCGCGAGGCAGGGGCAGTGCTGACGCCAGGTCGGGCATGTCCCCCCTATACAACAGGATTTGGGACGAAACACATATCCGCCGGCCCCCTTGTGGGGCCACCAGGCTGTAGGCGCGGGTTCGCAGTTTCCTGTTCCAGTTGTAGCTTGTAGTTTCCAGTGTTACAGTTCCGATACTGCTGCAAGACAGCGCAAAAGCGTCATGACTTAGCTCTTCCATGGCCCATTCTCCGAGAGAGGGGGCCGGCGGCAGGGGGCGAAGCCCTTACGGATAAAGAAATACGCAACACTACTCGAACATACGAAGAAGCATCGCCCCATCTTATTTTTTTAAACTGTTTCTGAAGATGCTTCCTGTGGAGGGACAGGCCCGCCTTCATGCTGACGAGGAGCGCGGCCATCCTTCTGACAGGGCAGGGAGCTGCTCGGAAGCAACCGGGGGAGTCCGAGAAGGCTCCCTCTCAGACCTGACCGCCACATTCGCCCACGGCCAACCGGAGAAGAAAAAAATGCTTCCGGCCTGGGCCCCTCCCGGGGACGACAATCTGCAGAAGCGCCCACGGACCTCGAGACCGACGGCGCCGTCGTCCTCGAGGATCGGGTCGGGCGAAAGGGGGGGGGGATAGCAAAAGGGGAGGGGGTGAGAATGAGCGCTCACGTAGTTGATTCTCCAGGCGCCTCCCGGCGCCGGAGGCGGCAAATGATGTATACATAGCCGCCGGGCCCATTCCTCGATGTATCGATACATCGAGGAACGGGCCCCTTCCTCGATAGATTATATCGAGGAGTGGGCCCGGCGGCGGGGCCGAAGCCAGCTGCGCGCAGCAGATTTCGTAGCCCCCTTGTTCCCCAATCCCCCCCTCAAAACAGGGCTAGGATCGGGATGAATCGCTCCAGAGCGTTCCGGAGCGCTCTCAGAGCGTTCCGGAACGCTCTGGAGCGGCCGCGGCGCCCCATACATCCTCCAAACCCGCCGATTCTCAGAGATTCCGAGTTCTCCCGATCCGATGTTGTCCCGATCGTCGCGTCGTTTTACCCCTGCCGCCCGGCCAGGAGGGGCGTTTGCGCGCGGCCCCAGAGAGGCCCACCCCGCGGCGCTCCCCGGCCCGCAGCGGCGGAGCCCCGAGGCGCCGCCCGGGGGGCACCCGCCGAGGGGCCGCCCGGGGGGACACCCGCCGAGGGGGGGCACCCGCCGAGGGGGCGCGCAGGCCCGTCGGCATCCCCCCGCGGCGCCCGCGGCACCTCCGGGACGCGCCAGGAGGCCCGCGAGCACCCGACGGGTCAGGGTAGGGACAAGGAAAGGCGACACCAACACCAACAGGGCGAGGAGACATCCCCAGCCTCCAGCTCGGGGAGGCCTCGTGGACCTCCTCGCTGGAGGTGGCCCCCTGTTGGTGTTGGTGTCGCTTCTCCTCCCTCCGATCAGGGAGGGCAGGAGGCACCCCGAGGGGTCCAGCGCAGGGGCAGAGAGCAGGGCGGAGGTGCCGTCCCGTTCACCCTGCCTCTGCAGGGGCCCTCGCCGGGCCCCGCGGGGGGACCGTCCAGGAGCGACTCGGGATGGGAAGCCCGTCCTGGGGGGGAATGGATCGAGGCTTCCCGGGACCCCGTATACGTATAGGGCTCCCAACTTCGCGCTTCGCGCCCCGCGAAGCGCGAAGCGCGAATAACTTCGCGCTCTCGCGCCGCCCCCCCAAAGGGAGAAAAGGAGGACGAGGAGGAGGGGGAGGAGAAACGAGGACCGCGAAGCGCGAATAACTTCGCGCCCTCCTGGGAGCCCTTGGTATATATGGAAAAGATCACAGCGTCGGATCTCTGGGCCCAGACATCCGACGTCGTGCCTTTTTCCACGCGGGGTCCCGGGAGGTCTCCACCCATTCCCCAGGACTGGCTTTTCCTCCTGGGTCGTCTTGTTGACGGCCCTGCAGGCCCCAAAACGACACGAAGATCGGGACAACATCGGATCGGGATAACTCGGAATCTCTGAGAATCGGGGCCCTAAACCGACACGAAGATCGGGACAACATCGGATCGGGAGAACTCGGAATATCTCTGAGAATCGGCGGGCTTGGAGGATGTATATTGGGCGCCGCGGCCGCTCCAGAGCGTTCCGGAACGCTCTGAGAGCGCTCCGCGAACGCTCTGGAGCGATTCGTCCCGATCCTAGCCCTGTTTTGAGGGGGGGATTGGGGAACAAGGGGGCTACGAAATCTGCTGCGTGCAGCTGGCTTCGGCCCCGCCGCCGGGCCCACTCCTCGATATGTATCGAGGAAGGGGCCCGTTCCTCGAGGTATCGATGTATCGAGGAATGGGCCCGGCGGCTATGTATACATACTTAGCCGCCTCCGGCGCCGGGAGGCGCCTGGAGAATCAACTACGTGAGCTGATTCTCACCCCCCCCCTTTGCTATCCCCCCCCCCTTTCGCCCGACCCGATCCTCGAGGACGACGGCGCCGTCGGTCTCGAGGTCCGTGGGCGCTTCTGCAGATTGTCGTCCCCGGGAGGGGTCCAGGCCGGAAGCACGTTTTTCTCCGGTTGGCCGTGGTCGAATGTGGCGGTCAGGTCTGAAAGGGAGCCTTCTCGGACTCCCCCGGTTGCTTCCGAGCAGCTCCCTGCCCTGTCAGAAGGATGGCCGCGCTCCTCGTCAGCATGAAGGCGGGCCCGGCGAGGGCCCTCTCGAGGCCGAGAGCCACGACAACCTGCCGCCTTGATTTTGGCCATGGCGCGTCGGACCCCGGGGCCTGCGCGGGCTGCCGAGGCCCGGGGCGTGCCGCATAGCGCTCTCGTGGCCGCCGCCCCTCCCGGCCCCGCCGGCGCCCGGCTCGTCGCCGGCCCCACCCTGACCTTCCAGGAGGGCTAAAAAATAGCACGCGACTTAAAAACCTATCCCAGAGCTATTCTACGTCTTGGTTTTAGGCTGTTTCGTATCGTTTTTTAGGTTTTTAGGTCTCCAGTGCTAAAAAATAGCTCTCTGGAAGGTCAGGGCAGAGGCCCTGGCCGCCTGCGGCCGGCCCCGCGGGCCCCCGCAGGCCCTCGGAGGTCCGCTGTCAAGGGCCTCGGTCACCGGGGCAGGCTGATGCCACTGCGTAAAAAAAGGGCCCCGGGGACACGCAAATCAATACACTCAACTCCTGGGATTCCCCGACCCTGACCTTCCAGGAGGGCTAAAAAATAGCACGCGACTTAAAAACCTATCCCAGAGCTATTCTACGTCTTGGTTTTAGGCTGTTTCGTCTCGTTGTTTTAGGTTTTTGGGTCTCCAGTGCTAAAAAATAGCTCTCTGGAAGGTCAGGGGATGTGTCTTCCCACAGTTTCTGGATGTTCGTCTTCCGCCCCCAACTGTCCTAGTTTCCCATCTCTGCCCGTGAATCGACGATCAGTTGTGTCTGTGTGCGTCTCCCTTAGGTCGGGCATGTCCCCCTACAGGCGGTTTCTGGACGATCTACTAAGAGGGTCAACAAATGCTCAAAGGTGGCCAGAACGAGTTGACAAATCGTCCCTGCACTATTGCTCGACTGCTTTTGAATATATTCCTTTTGTACAGGGACAGCCCAGCTTGAGCCCACCCCCTGGACCACTGCCCGGGCCCCAACGCACCCGTCTTCCGCGCGTCCCGCCTGTGGCCACGCGCGGGCCCCAGGCCGCACAACCCCGCCTCCGCCGTATCCCTCCTCCGAGCCGACGGGCCGCCGAAGGCCCAAGGCCGCACACCCCCGCCTCCGCCGTATCCCTCCTCCGAGCCGACGGGCCGCCGAAGGGCCGCCCACGGGCCGCGGGTGGGCCGCCCCATAGGGCCCACCTGCGTCCGGCGCGTCGCCGCGGGGCCCGCCGGCGGCGGGCCCGGCGGGCTCCGGCGCGCCGCCGCCGCCCAGCAGCGCCGCGAGGAGGGCCGAGGCGAGAGCGGCGGTGAGCCTCCACGGCGGGGCCTGGGCCGCCGCGGGGGGGGGGGATCGAGGCTCGGGCCTCGAGGATCGACGGTCGATGGGGCGTCGACTCCGACCACGACCGCCCCCCCCCCGTCGACGCTGACGGGCGCCCGCTCCAGCGGCGCACCTGCGCTGCCGCCTGGCAGGCGCCGCCGCCGCAGCCTCGGTCGTCGCGGGCGGCAATTCGACAGACGAGGCCCGAAGCGAAGGCGGCCACGAACCTCCCAGGCGGGGCCTGGCGGTCAAGGGGAAGAGCGAGGGGGGGCGGCCGCCGCTGCCTGCGCGCTCGGGGGCAGAACCGCCCCAGGGTTCGCCCGCTCGGCGTCTGAGCCGGTTCGGCCGCTGGGCGGGATGAGGATCGAGCGCTTTCGGCGGCCGAGCGGCCTGAGGCGCCGCACGGGAAGAGCGGAAGCTCGAGGCCCAATAGGCGTTCTGAAATGTTGGGCGCTTTTGAACCTCCGGCGGGTGTCTCCTCGATGCCACGGCTGGCTCCGAGTCGGAATTCTGGCCAGGGTGCGCGGCGCGTTTGGGGGGGATTTGCTCGGCGAAGGAGAGCGTTCGTGACCCAACTTCGCGCCCCGCGCCCCGCGCCCCGCGGCGCGCGGTCACCTCCGCGCCCTCGTGAGGCGCCCCTGGAGAAGGGCGGCCCGCAGGCCCTCCTCCTCCCATGGCGTGGAATAAGTGCGTGTGTGTGTGAATTGAAGTGTGACGGTGTGTGAATGTGTATGTGAATTGGAAAGAGAGAGAGAGAGAGAGATAGAGAGAGAGAGAGAGTGTGTGTGATTGTGTCTGTGTGTGAAAGCGTGTGTAGGTGTGTGTGTGTGTGAAAGTGAGTATGTGTGAAAGTGTGCGTGTGTGTGAAATTGTGTGAAAGTGTGCGTGTGTGAAAATGTGTGTGTTACTTCCGTGGCAATTCTGCCACGGACTCTGGCCCTGCGCGCTGGCTCCAGGGAGCAGCGGGCGTCGTGCACGTCAGCGCTCTGGTGAGCGGCCCCGGCTGTACCCATCCAGGCGCTCTCGTTAGGAGAAGAAAAACCGGCATGCTGAAACATAAACTGTTGGCGTTCCGCGCGGATTTCTTGGGTCTGCGCTGGACCCCCCCCCCAAGGCGCGCACAAAGGGAAGGGGGAGGGGGGACGGCTTAATAGGAGGAGGCTGCTTCTTAGAAGGTGTGGGCCTTCCATCCAGAGACAAGGCCCGCGCCTCCTGAGAGGCAGGGCTGCTTCTAAGAAGCCTCCCTCCCTCCCCCTCCCTCCTGCCCCCCTCTGCGCGTGGCCGAGCGCCCACAGTTTAAGTGTGTATCGTTTCCTTCTTCTTCGACTCGTCCGCCCGCATGGCGACGGGCTCCCTGCCGAAATGGCACCGCCTGCTCGTGGGCCCAGATGCCGGCCGCCCGGCGCCAGGGGGCCACCACCGCGGGCACCGTCCCCTCGGCGCACTGCCGCCCTGTCCCGAGCGGCTCTTGACGGGCGGAGGACGTCTGCCGGGCCGCCGTCGGCGGAGCAGGCAGGCCAGCGTGCCGTCTGTGGAAGCGTTGCAAGTGATGGGCCAATGTTCCAACACCGCAACAAAAGGTAGGAGAGGGAGGAGGAGAGGGTGGAGGAGGAGGAAGAGGCGGAGGAGAAGGACCAAAATAAACCCAAGAGTCACGAACGATGTTGGAATAAACACTCCCCCAGGCCTCCCCCCAAACTCCCTCTTCATAGGCCCCCAAACGGTTCACTTCTACAGAGGTTCACTTGCCTAACACATGTTGCAAAGGAGCAACCCTCAATCCGCGAAGCTCTTGCAAGTGTTTGAAATGAATGCACGCGGCGCGAAGGCGAAAACCACATGTTGAAAACCACCCGCCCTCAATCCGTGAAATCCCACCAGCCCTTTGGGCGTGAGTGGTTTAGAGAGCCCGCTCTGTTCTCAACCCCCTTCTTCCCCTTCGGGGAGGGGTTTACCCCTCCCCCTCCCCCCTCCCCCTGGGCCTGGAGAGGGCGTCTCGCGGGTCGTTGGAGGGGTCTTTTTCGACCTGGGAGGGCTAAAATTCGACACCCCTCACGAGGATTCTGGCCCCGACGGGGGGGGGGAGAAAAGTGCTCGCCCCATCTGTGATCGATCGCCCGACAGATGGCCCCAAGATTCCTCCCAGACCCCTCCCAAAGAGCCCCAAGAGGCCCCAAGAGGCCTCCAAGAGGCCCCCAAGATGCCCCCAAGAGGCCCCAAGAGGCCCCAAGAGGCTCCCCCGAGGCACCCAAGACGCTCCTGGAAGCCCCTGGAGCCGCCAAGAGGCCCCCAAGACGCCCCAAACGGCCTCCAAGAGGCTCCCAAGAGGCCCGAAGAGGCTCCCCCAAGGCACCCAAGACGCTCCTAGAAGCCCCTGGGGCCGCCAAGAGGCCCCGAAGACGCCCCAAAAGGCCTCCAAGAGGCTCCCAAAACGACTCACACCACGACGAGGGCCCCGAACGACTCACACCACGAGGAGCCCGAACGAGTCACACCAGGAGGAGGGGCCCGAACGACTCACACGACGACGAGGGGCCCGAACAACTCACACCACGAGAAGCCCGAACGACTCACACCAGGACGAAGAGCCCGAACGACTCACATCACGAAGAGCCCGAACGATTCACACCAGGAAGAAGGGCCCGAACGACTCACACCAGGACGAGAAACCCCAAACGACTCAAACCACGAGGAGCGCTTTCTCTCCCTCCTCCTCCGCCTCGTCCTTCTCCCGCTCCCACCACAAGGAGGATGTACAAGGAGGCGGGAGGAAGGAGGAACAGGGGAGATATGCGGGGGCAGGCGGAAACACGCCTGAAAAACACGACTGTCGGCATGCTTCGCAAGCGTTGCTGTTTTGAGATGGGCTGGTGGGGATACGCGAAGCGTAAAGAATTCTTGCTAATGTTGAACACGAATGTGCGCGGCGCTCAAGCGAGAACCACATATTGGAAACGACCCGCCCTCAATCCGCGAAAACCTTGCAAATTCTTAAACCGAACGTGCGCGGCGCTAGAGCGAGAACCACATATTGGAAACCACCCGCCCTGAACCCGTGAAACTCTTGCAAACGTTTGAAATGAATGTGCGCGGCGCTAAGGCGAGATCCACATTTTTTTGAAAACCACCAGCCCTCAACCCGTGGAACTCTTGCATAAACATATGTGCGCGGCGCTAAGGCAAGAATCACATTTTGAAAACCACCCGCCCTCAATCCGTGAAACTCTTGCTAATGTTGAACAAGAATGTGCGCGGCGCTCAAGCGAGAACCACATATTGGAAACGACCCGCCCTCAATCCGTGAAAACCTTGCAAATTCTTAAACCGAACGTGCGCGGCGCTAGAGCGAGAACCACATATTGGAAACCACCCGCCCTGAATCCGTGAAACTCTTGCAAACGTTTGAAATGAATGTGCGCGGCGCTAAAGCGAGATCCACATTTTTTTGAAAACCACCAGCCCTCAATCCGTGGAACTCTTGCATAAACAAATGTGCGCGGCGCTAAGGCAAGAATCACATTTTGAAAACCACCCGCCCTCAATCCGTGAAACTCTTGCTAATGTTGAACAAGAATGTGCGCGGCGCTCAAGCGAGAACCACATATTGGAAACGACCCGCCCTCAATCCGTGAAAACCTTGCAAATTCTTAAACCGAACGTGCGCGGCGCTAGAGCGAGAACCACATATTGGAAACCACCCGCCCTGAACCCGTGAAACTCTTGCAAATGTTTGAAATGAATGTGCGCGGCGCTAGGGCGAGATCCACATTGTTTTGAAAAACAACAGCCCTCAATCTGTGGAACTCTTGCATAAACAAATGTGCGCGGCGCTAAGGCGAGAGTCACATGTTGAAAACCACCCGCCCTCAATCCGTGAAACTCTTGTATTTTGTATAAGCAAATGCGCGCGGCGCTGAGGCAAAAACCACATTCCGAAAACGACTCGCCATCCATCCGTGAAACTGTTGCCAATGTTTAATCTTCAGGGTCGAAGATGGTGAGGAAGTCTCAGGCGAAACGCCCGGCCTGCCCTAAAATCTGGCCTCGGGGTGCGACAGGATGAAGTTATGTACAAGGAGAAGGAATGGAGGAGGAGGAGGAGGAGGAGGAGGAGGAGGAGGATGAGGAGGAGGAGGAGGAGGAGAAGAGGGAGGAGGGGGAAGATGAAGATGAGGAGGAGGAGGAGAAGGAGGAGGAGGAGGAGGACCTCCCCATCCTCCCTTTTCCCCCGTCCTACCTATGGGAGTGGTGGTGGAAAACTGGCCCATCAGCAGTTCTTGGCGAGCACGTCGCACGTGCCCGGGCCGAAGTGGCCCCCGAGCCCGCGCAGGAGATCTGCTCCGCGAGCGGCGGGTGAGGCCGACCTGAGCACGCGCGTGGCCAGCTTCTGCTCGTGCGAGGGGGGGCACGGCAAAGCGGTCCGCATGCAGGTCGGGGATCTGCTGACCCGGTCGATGCAAACCCCCGTCCAGGCCTGGCAGGATGCTGCAAGATCCTGCAGGCTCCTCCAGGATCCTGCACGCAAGCCCGGGTCAACGCTCCCCGGCGCTCTGCCTGATCCCCGAGCCCGCGCTCCTGCACGCCCCCCATATCATGAAAAAGACACCCGCAGCCGTCCAGCACGTCGCTCGTGGGGTAGCCCTTCTGGCCGCCCGCAGCGCCCCCAAAAACGCCCGCAGGCAGCGGCACCCTGGGGCACCGCGAGGCCCACTTGGGCGGCTGCCGCCAGAGCGGCCCGCGCCCCCCCTGGGGGGCTGGGGCGTGGCCGCAGCAGGGCGCCGCGAGGTCAGAGGCGCAGCCGCCCCTCGCGGCGGCGGCGCGCTGCGCGCGAGCGCGCGGAGCTGCGGCCTTGAACCCACATGGCCAGGGAAGCTGGACGGATGGAGTCTGCTCCTTTTGCACGACAGAGCCCTCGCCTGAATGGGGAGCCAAAGCGGAGTGCTCGTCGTGCCACGGGGCGTTTCCTGCAGCGGAGCTGGAGAGACTTCTGGGGAGCGAGCCTCGCACGATTTGGTGCGTGTTGCGCGTGGTGCAGCGTCGTGGCGCCGTTGCCCTGGAGTTACCCTCATCCACCTCTGCCGATTCGCCCTCCTCATCACACTCCTCGTCGTATTGGTCGTCATGCTTCTACTGCCTCACAGAGCTTGTCATCCTCAACCTCTTGTCCCTGCTCCTCCTCCTCCTCCTCCTCCTCCTCCTCCTCCTCCTCCTCCTCCATGCTGCTGCTCATGGCGGTCGAGGGTGCACCTGTAGCCATGCTCCTCCTCCTCCTCCTCCTCCTCCTCCTCCTCCTCCTCCTCCTCTTCCTCCTCCGCCTCATCCTCAGCCCGTGCGCCCTCCTGCCTCCCTCACGTCCTCGTCCCTCTGATGCCCCCCGCCGTCGCCCTCCTCCTCCTCGTCTTCGTCGCCGCAGTCCGCCTCCTCCTGCTCTTCCTCCTCCTCCTCCTCCTCCTCCTCCTCCTCCTCCTCCTCCTCCTCCCTCCTCCTAATGCTGCTGCTCATGGCGGTCGAGGGTGCTCCTGTAGCCATGCTCCTCCTCCTCCTCCTCCTCCTCCTCCTCCTCCTCTCCTCCTCCGCCTCATCCTCAGCCCGTGCGCCCTCCTGCCTCCCTCACCTCCTCGTCCCTCTGATCCCCCCCGCCGTCGCCCTCCTCCTCCTCGTCTTTCGTCGCCGCAGTCCGCCTCCTCCTGTCCTCCTCCTCCTCCTCCTCCTCCTCCTCCTCCTCCTCCTCCTCTTCCTCCTCCTCCCCTCCTCCTCCTCCTCCTCCTCCTCCTAGACCCCCCCGGACCGCTCTCTCGCAGCGGTGCTGCCGTCCCTTGCGCGCGGCGCGGCGCCTGGGGGCCGAGGCGCGCCCTTTTCGAGGGAGGACCTCCTAGACCTCCTCCTGCGCCTCCTCCCTCCTCCTCCTCCTCCTCCTCCTCGTCCTCCTCCTCTCCTCCTCCTCCTCCTCCACCTCCACGCTCCACCTCCTCCTCCTTCCTCCTCCTCTCTTCCTCCTCCTCCTCCTTCCTCCTCCCTCCCTCCTCTCCCCCTCCACCTCCCCTCTCCTCCTCCTCCTCCTTCTCCTCCTCCTCCTCTCCTCCTCCTCCACCTCCCCCCTCCTCCTCCTCCTCCTCCTCCTCCTCCTCCTCCTCCTCCTCCTCCTCCTCCTCCTCCTCCTCCTCCGCCTTCTCCACTGGAAGCGGCGCCTGTCTGGCCGGGCGGTCCTCTTTGCCTGCAGCGGCGGGCGCCTGGCGGAGCCAGGCCGCGGACAGCATGGACGCTGCGCGCGCCGCGCCCCTCGCGCACAGCGGGCCTCGTGCGCGCGAGCCGCTGGCCGCGCTGGACGCCGACGTGCGGGGTCGTCGTCGTCGTCGTCGTCGTCGTCGTCGCCGTCGTCGTCGTCGGCGTCGTCGGCGGCGCTGGCGTCGGCGTCGGCGTCGGCGTCGTCGTCGTCGGCGTCGTCGTCGGCGTCGTCGTCGTCGTCGTCGGCGTCGGCGTCGTCGTCGTCGTCGTCCTGGTCGTCCTCGTCGTGCTCGTCGGCTGGTGGGGCTGCCTGGCGGAAAACAAGTCGGGCACAGCCTGGAATCGGATGCCTGAGATCCTGGCGTCTTGACTTTTGCTCGAGCCGGGCGTTTCCGCTTCTTTTAAGGCCCCAGAACCCTCACAGATTGAAATGGCTCGACAAGTGCCGCAGAGGGATGGGGACAAGGACTCCCGGCGTGATTTGTTCCGATGTTCAATGTTTTCCCATATCCGAAAGATTGGGTTCTTGTTACTACCGACCGCGCGCGGACCTCCTTCCTCCTCTCTCTCCTCTCTCTCTCTCTCTCTCTCTCTTCCCCATCCGACCCAGAGTATGATGATGTACTCAGAGTATGATGACTCCGACTGATGACGATACGAACGCGATGACGACGATGATGATGCAAATGACGCATGATGCCGATGAAGAAACATGGTGTCTCCTGCGAGGCGCTGGTTTTCGCACCCCAGGGGGGCCCAGATGGCGAGAGTGTCTCGAACGGTGTGCCTGTTTTGGGGGGTCAGGCTCGGCTGCGCTCAGAGCAGATTCTGAGGATGTCTCGAAGGAGGCACGGGTTGCAGCACCCCCAAGGGGGAGCCGCCAGGGGGTATTGCATCGCTCCCGTTCGCGCCGCCAATGGCGGGGATCTCTGGGGCGGTCTGCCTGTCTCGGTGCCGCAGCATCCTCCGCTTTCGGAGCAGATGTGGAGGATGTCTCGAGCGAGGCGCTCAGATTCGCCCATCAGTGGGGCCAGGATGTGAGGATGTCTCGATCGCTTTGCCTGATTTGGTAGCCAGGCTCGTGGGCACGGATCCTCCCCAGGAAGCCACAGGAGGCTCCAGCAGGCTCCAGGAGGCCCCAGGAGGCAACAGGAGGTCCCAGGAGGCATCAGTAGGCCAAAGGAAGACCTAAAAGGCAACAGGATGACCCAAGAGGCTCCAGGAGATCCCAGGAAGCTCCAGACGGCCTCGGGAGGCTCCACCATGCTCCAGGAGGCCACAGGAGGCCACAGGAGGGCCCAGGAGGCCACAGGAAGCGCCAAGAGGCATCAGGAGGCCCCAGAAGGCACCAGGAGGCACCAAAAGACCCCAGGAGCACGAGGCTCTCCTGTGGCTCCAACTCGACATGTGTTACGTCTGTTCCTATAGATTGGGCCTCTCCTCGGACACGAATCCTCCCCAGGAGGCCCCAGGAGGCTGCAAGAAGCTCCTAGAGGCCACAGGCGGCCACACGAGGCTCCAGGAGGCCTCAGGAGGCCACAGGAAGCCCCAAGAGGCCCCAGGAGGCCCCAAGAGGCTCCAGGAGGCACCAGCAAGCTCGAGGAGGCTTCAAAAGGCCCCAGCAGGCCCCAGGCTCATGCGCAGAGGCGCACTAGTACTACTGAGACTCATTCACACTCCAGTCCAGTCACAGTCAGATTTGCTCCCAGGCCGTCAATACTCAAGGTCGTTTATATTCGAAAGCTCTTGCGCCTGGACACTCACGGCGACCAGGTCCATGCTAATAGATGCACACCTGGGGAGCTGCCTGCCGTCGGGGCTGATCGGTGAGGACGCGCGAGAGGACACGAGACCCTCCCGCGGGGCCGCGCCGCCTCAGGAGTGCAGAGGGCAAGGGCCGCGAGCCACAGGACAGACGGGTACCCGTCGTTCATTCCTACCCGTGCTCACTTCTAATTGTGCTCGTTTCCAATTGTTCCTGGCCCCCTGGTGGCCAGGAAGAGGCCCAGGATAGAACAATTAGAAATGAGCGGATCCTGGCCCTCCACCAAAATCCAAGAACTGTGGAAGACTTAGAAATGAACAGTGTGCAGGCTTCCCCGCAGAGGAGAAGGAGGAGGACGAAGGGGAGGAGGAGGAGGAGGAGGAGGAGGAGGAGGAGGAGGAGGAGGAGGAATGGAATGGAAGGAGAAGGAGGAGGAGGAGGAATGGAATGGAATGGAATGGAATGGAATGGAATGGAATGGAATGGAAGGAGGAGGAGGAGGAGGAGGAGGATGAGGATGAGGAATGGAAGGAGGAGGAGGAGGAGGAGGAGGAGCAGGAGGAGGAGGGAGGAGGAGGGCGCCCTTGACCCGGCGGGGTCCACGGACCCGCGGATCAGGCGCCCAGCGGTGCGCTGGCTGGCCAGGCCGCCGCACTGCTCCACGCGCGGCGCGGCCGCGGGCCTCCGCCCCCCCCTGGAGGGGGCCGCGCCACGCTGCCTCCCATGGGTGCGCACCCCTTGGCTTAGGTCGGGCCTGTCCCCATACAGGGGGATTCTGGACGAAGAATTAAGAATAGTCCAACAATACCCCAAATCGGTCAAACAATACTTACAGCCATCGTCCCCAGACAATCGTTCGACTATTTTGGAATCTTCCGCCTGTAGAGGCACAGGCCCGACTTAACCCTTGGCACGCCTCAGGAGGAGTCAGGGATGGAAAGGAACAGTAAAGCAACAACGAGAGCACACACAAAAAAGAATACAAAACGACGAAACGAACAAGAAACCAACAAGACAAAACGACAAACCGAACACTGAGCAAACACACACACAGAACCAGGCAAAACGACAACAGCGACAGGCTAAACACAAACCTAAACAAAACAAACAACCCACGATCGAAGCCATCAACATAAAAAAAGGGCCGCCCACGGGGCCCGTCGTAGATGCCCCCGTCGCACCGCCGCGGCCAGACGACGGAGAGGGAGGCGGGCGGGGAGGAGGAGCCCCCCCGGGGTCCTGGCGCTGCAGCCTGCAACGGAGAGGGGCCCCCCGGGGAGCCCCACGGGGATCGATCCAGCCCGAGACGTGCCGCAAGACGACGGGGTCCATGGCTCCGGTCGTCTGCAACTGAGACCACACACGAGTCTGCGACTCGCGACGTTGCAGGTGATCGCGGAGTCGGGTCTCAGGGGAACAGGGAAGGGGGGAACGAGGAAGGACAGGCACTGAGGAGGGAGAAGTGGTGATTACCCTTCCTCCTCACCGCTGCTGTTGCCGCTCCTCCTCCTCCTCCTCCTTCTCCACCTCCTCCTCCTCCTCCTCCTCCTCCTCCTCCTCCTCCTCCTCCTCCTCCCTCTCCCTCTCGTTAGGACCTGTTCCACATCTTTCTCCTCCCTCCTTCTCCTCCCTAGTCCATCCTTCTCACCCCTCAGGAGGAAAGCAAGAAAAGGAGGGCGGAGGAAGTAGGGATAGAAGACTGTCCTACTCTGTATCAGTGTTTTGCGGAGGCATGTTTGAAGGCTGACCTGCAGTCAAGATTCAGTCGGACAAAGGGAGGAGAAAGGAAGAGGAATGATGGATGATCCATATCCAAACTCATTAGTTTCGATGAGAAGAGATGGCCGCCAGTTACGCCGTGCTTTAGTGACCAACCATCTGCAACAACGCGTTCTCTGCATCTCTGGCTAAGCATGTACCATATAAGGTTACCTGATGAAGGGTGGACATAAGATAAGAATACCAGACCGCCAAGTCGATTGCAACGAAATTCGGCATTTCTTGCGTAGGGGGACACAAAGGCACCACCAGGATCGGACGGACAGTGATTATGCAATAACACCCTCCCGCTGGTTCTCCTCGCCACTAGCTTTGTGAAGCCCCACTCGGCCCTTCTGCTGGCCTGTCGGATTGCAGGAAGGGGCTTGGCCTGTAAACGCGGAAAAACGATTGGACACTGTGACGCGCATACGACCTGGACTTCCGAAACGGCTTCAGGGAAGAACTCTTCGTATGGATTATTATGTTGTCCCGGGAACTCGGGAAGGCCCCAAGAGCCCGAGGACTGCGCAAAAACCGTTCAGGATCTGGTTTCCTCGATGCCCTTTTGCTGTGTGGGGACCTCGTCCTCCGCCTCTCTCCTGCAGCCAGAAGGTTCACGAGCATCGCCATCAAGGATGGGAGGGCCCATGTGCCCCACCCGACCTCACAGGGTTTAGCTTACTTTTACTCTCTCTCCCTCTCCCTCTTTCTCTTTCTCTTTCTCTTTCTTTTGTTTTCTCTCTCTCTCTCTCTTTCTCTCTCTCTCTCTCTCTCTCTCTTTCTCGCTCTTGCTGTCCATTCGGGCGGGTGGAGATGGGGGGGTGACCTACATGGGGGACGAAGAAAAGGACCCTAAAGGCGCCAATTAAGGGGGGCGCGCCGCTGGGTGCCCCAAAAAGTATGGGATGGGGGTCGGGACCCCACCCGCCCCTTTCAACCCCTTCCCTGGTTCTTCGTCCCCGGACCCACCTTCTTTGGACACAAACATCGGACCTCCACCCTCCCCCCTTTAGCCACGCCGCCTCCCTCGCTCCAAACCCTGCCCCCTCACCTGACCGACCGAACCCCAACCCTAACACCCTAACCCTATCCCCATAACCCGAAGCCCAAGCCTAGCACCCTGCCCAGAACACCCTCACCCTAGCACACCAACGCCCAAATCCTAGAACCCCAACCCTAACACTCTGAACCCGAATCCTACCGACCTTAGGCGTAAGCCCTAAACCCAACAACCTAATCAGCACCCTACCACCGTAACCCAACAGCCGAGCCCTAACACCATGCCCCTACCTAGCCCTAACACCCTACTCCAAACCCTACCGCCTTAGCCCGACCCCTACCACCTTAAGCGTATCATCCTCACCCGAACACCAACACTCTGACACCCTAACCCCAACCCTAACACCCTGACCCTAACACCCTGGCCCGCACACCCTAACCCAACCCCCCCAAGCCTACAACACCTAACCCTACCACCCGAACCCTAACATCCTAAGCCGAACACCGTAACACCGGGAAGATTGCCCCAAAGCTCTAACCCCTAAGCCCTAAGCTCTAAGCCCTAAGCCCTAGGCCCTAAGACTTAAGCCCTAAGCTATAAGCCCGAAGACCTATTACCCCAAACCCAGGATTTCAACCCTAAGCCCTAGGCCTCAAGCTCTACGGCTTAAGCCCAACGCCATAAGCTATAAACCCGAAGGTTTAAGCCCTAGTCTCGTCTGGGTGTGCATACTCCCCAACTCCGCCGTGCTTCCCCAGAGCCCACACGAAAGTGGCGACGGTTGCGCAGTTCGCTGCCTGCCAAAGCCCCAGGGAGCTGCGAGGACCCGGCAGGGTGGGCGTACTCCTCTGCTTCTCAAGAGCCCGCGAATGTGGCGACGCTTGCCCAGTTCGCAGCCCCCCAGGGAGCTCACGGTCCTATATATGGAGGGGGACCTAAAGTGGTGGTGAAGAGAAGGGCCCATTTGGAACCCTTTTCTTCATCACCCCCCGCTAAGGTCACACTTTTTTTCAGCCGGTGATCAACTTTCCACGTGTCCCTCCACGGTGCAGTGCGGAGGCCCCGTTACTAGCGTGCACATTGCGCGCAAAAGCAGAACGCACATGTTGGAATGCACAACCCGCACAACCCGAGAAAAGCAGGACACACTAAGACGAAACCAGGACGAGAACCAAGTCGGGTAAGGATCCATCGAGAATCTCAGGGATCTGGCGGATCCGGAGGATGCCTCGGGCGCCGCGGCCTTCTCAGCTCAGGGTGTCCCTGAACACTCTGAAAGCGTTCTGGGGCACGCTCTGGAACGGACTCCTCCCCGCCCGAGCCCCGTCCGACACGCCCCATTATGGGGAAATCCGGACGGTACCGATACCGCTGCTCCCCGGACCTCTCCCAGGGTGCGTTCTGACCAGGATGTCGAGGCGAATCCAGCGGTGCCGACGAGGGCTCCCCAGGAGGCCCGAAAAGGGGAAAACGGGCGAAGGGTAGCAGTATGGGTACCCGTTCCTCCTCTGACATCACCGCCCGCCCGATCTGCCCGATCTGCAAGGGCTCCCAACTTCGTGCTCGGCGCCGCGCGAAGCGCGCAGTGCGCATGACTTCGCGCTCTCGCGCCGCCCCCCAAGGGAGAAGAGGAGGATGAGGAGGAATCGGGGCCGAACCGCGCAGCGCGAAGCGCGAGCAGCCTCGCGCCCTCGAGGGCGTCCTTGGATCTGCCTCTGCCTTCGGGGACCAAAAAAATGGCATAACAATAAAAAACTCCGAGGTCCGCGCGGATTTCTCGGATCCGCGCTGGACCCCCTCCTTGACGCGCGGAGCGCGCCAGGGGCGGCGCCGGAGGCGCCGCCAGGGGGGCCCAGCGCCGAGCCGAGAATTCCGCGCGGACCTCCGAGTTTCTATGCTTATGCCACTCCTTGTTCCCCTGTGCCTCTCTCCCTCTCTCTACTCCACCCTGACAAGCTTCTTGGCCCCCACTTCTATGGCTCTTCCATGGCCCTCAGAGAAACTTTCTGTTTATGCCACTTCTGATTCCCCTATGCCTTTGCTCCCCGGCTCTTGCGGCCGCGCGCCCGCGGGAGGCTCCCCCCGCTGCGGGCGGCGCCCCGCGGCGCGCGCGCGCCCCTGCCGCGGAGAGCCGGCGGGGCGCGGCGTCGTGCCGGGGCCGGCGGCCGGCGGCGTGCGCGGCGTCACTCCGCCTTCTCTTTGGCCTGCGGGTGCCGCCCCCCTCTGGTGGGCCTGTGTTTCCAGCACCACCACCACCATGGGTGGGAGGGGGGGGGGGGGAGGTGGAGGATGAGGAGGCATGAGGAGGATGAGGGAGGATGAGGGGAGGAGGAGGAGGAGGAGGAGGAGAGGAGGAGGAGGAGGAGGAGGAGGGAGAGGAGGAAGAACAGGGGGAGGACACCCTGGCCCCTCCAACTTCTGGTGGTGGTGGTTGTGGAAAACGGGCCCATCACCCCTGGCCCCACCCCCAGTTGGAAGCTGGGCGAGGGCTGGCAAGTCCGTGGGTGCTGGAACGGTTTTCCTGGAGGGGGAAAGCCATACTCTCGGCATCAAGCTCAACACACTGAATAGCCAACGGGCTGCTTCCCAGAACAACAAATTACTCCGACGGAAGGACCCCACACGATAATCGGTTTAGCTTGCCCTTACCCTTTTTCCTCCTCGCCCCGACGGACACCCTCCTCTCACCCGCAGCTCTGCCCTCACCTACCCCCCCTCCTTCTATATATCCGCCTCCTCCTTCTCCACTTCCTCCTCATCATCACCCCCTCCCTACCCCTTTCCGCGTCCTCGTCCTTCCCTTGCCTCTTCTCCGCGCGCTCCTCCCCTTCCCCCTGGCCGGGGCAAGCAAAAATCGATGTCCCTCGGTGCCGTCGCCGCCGCGGCCAAGAGCGCGCGCACTCCCCGACGGCTGGTTTTCGCGAAGCCGTGGAGACAACCCCGCGGGCCGCGGGGGCGCGGGGGCAGGCGGTCGGGGCAGCCCCGCGGGCCAAGCCGTTTGGACAGCCCCGCGGGCTTCGAGCGGAGCGCAGCCGCGCTCGGGCGGGAGGCAGCAGGAGCCCAAGCTCTGCGGCGAGCTGTTCGGCCTCATCCCTGGATGCCTCCGCTCTCTTGTCGAGCTCGCTTGCCCCGACCAGGGCGAAGGGGAGGAGCACGCGGACAACAAGCAAGGGGAAGGACGAGGACGGGGAAGGGGTAGGGAGGGGGTGATGATCAGGAGAAAATGGAGGAGGAGGAGGAGGATAATCAATAGAAGGAGGGGGAGAAGGTGAGGGCAAAACGGCCGGCGAGAGGAAAGCGTCCGTCAGGGCGAGGAAGAAAAAGGTAAGGGCAAACTAAACAAATTATCATGCGGGGTCCTTCCGTCGGAGTAATTACAGGTTGCCGATGACCCGCTCGGAATACCAACATGAGCGGGGCACATCGGGAGGGGCTCCCGCCTGAGACTTCCTCACAATTCATTCACAGACAAAGCTCCCGCTTAATACTTCCTCCGAATTCAAGCCTGGTGAACCCAAAAGTGACGACACTTACAAGTTGCCGATGGCCCGCTCGAACTACCAACATGAGTGCGGGGCCCTCAGGGAGGGGTCTCCCGCCTGAGTATTCCTCACAATTCACTCACAGACGAGGCTCCCGCTTGATACTTCCTCCAATTTCAAGCCTGGGAACCCCAAGCGTGACGACAGTTACAGGTTGCCGATGACCCGCTCGGAATGCCAACATGAAATGCGGGACCGATGAGGAGGGGGCTCCCGCTTGAGACTTCCTCACAATTCACTCACAGACGTGGCTCCCGCTTGGTACTTCCTCCAAATTCAAACCTGAGGCGCTCAAAAAATGGTGACAATTAAAATTATCCCGGCAAAGCAACCTAACAGCGATGTGTAGGAGCATATCTGGAAGCATTCCCCTTAAGATTCAGATGAGAATCCAGTTGTAGAATTCTGCTGTTCTCGCAGTCGTAGTCGCATTCGCGATGACAGTCGCAGTGGCAACGGCAGTCGCAGTCACAGCCTCAGCCTCAGCCTGCCTCAGCCTCAGCCTCAGCCTGCCTCAGCCTCAGCCTGCCTCAGCCTCAGCCTCAGCCTGCTTCAGCCTCAGCCTCAGTCTGCCTTCAGCCTCGGCCTCAGCCTCAGCCTGCCTCAGCCTCAGCCTGCATCAGCCTCAGCCTCAGCCTCAGCCTGCCTCAGCATCAGCCTGCCTCAGCCTCAGCCTCAGCCTGCCTCAGCCTCAGCCTCAGCCTGCTTCAGCCTCAGCCTCAGTCTGCCTTCAGCCTCGGCCTCAGCCTCAGCCTGCCTCATCCTCAGCCTGCCTCAGCCTCAGCATCAGCCTGCCTCAGCATTCAAAATGTGGCCCGGGAATGGAGTTCTGGGAACTCGAAGAACACGAAGTGGCCTACAGTTGGCTCCGGGCATTCAAAATCATGCCCAGGAATGGAGTTCTGGGAACTCGAAGACCACGAAGTGGCCTACAGTTGGCTCCGGGCATCAAAATGTGGCCCGGGAATGGAGTTCTGGGACTCGAAGACCACGAAGTGGCCTACAGTTGGCTCCGGGCATTCAAAATGTGGCCCGGGAATGGAGTTCTGGGAGGTCGAAGAGCACGAAATGTGTGACTGTTGGCTTAAAACGACTTCTGCGGCACCCTGTCCGGCACCCGCCCAGACCCCCCTGTGGAGCCATCTGCTGCTCTCTTTTGACCCTACTAGAAACCTCTCAGTCTTCGCTGTTATGTAAATTGCCGATGACCCGCGCGGATTACCAACGTGAAGCGCGGGACCCATAAGTAGGGGGTTCCTGCCTGAGACTTCCTCACACTTCACTCACAGACAAGGCTCCCGCTTGATACTTCCTGCAAATTCATGCCTGAGAACCCAAGGGTGAGGACAGTTACAGGTTGCCGATGACCCGCCCGGATTACCAACATGAAGTGCGGGACCCCTAAGGAGGGAGCTCCCGCTTGAGACTTCCTCACAATTCACTCATAGACGAGGCTCCCGCTTACTTCCTCCAAGTTCAGGCCTGAGGAGCCCAAGCGTGACGATAGTTACAGGTTGCCGATGACCCGCCCGGATTACCAACATGAAGTGCGGGACCCATAGGGAGGGGGCTCCTGCCTGAGACTTTCTCACAATTCACTCACAGACGAGTGAGCGATGACGAAGTGATGAGGGAGTGATGAAGATGAGTGATGATGATAATGATGATAAGTCAGTGAGTGAGTGATCGAGTGATGACGATGGTGATGCTGATGATAATGATGATGATGAGTGTTCGTGCGATGCTGATGGTGACTGGTGGTGATGATGATGACGAAGTGATTAGTGAGCGTGTAGTGATGATGATGATACTGATAATGATAATGATGATGATGATGATGATGAGGAGGAGGAGGAGGAGGAGGAGGAGGATGATAATGGTGATCGTGCGATGCTGATGATGAGGAGGAGGAGGAAACAAAGAGGAGGAGAGGAGAGGGAGGAGGAGGAGGAGGAGAGATCCTGCGCGGAGGGTGTGCAGAGAAAATTATCCCGGCAAAGCAACCTAACAGCGATGTGTAGAAGCATATATGGAAACATTCCCCTTAAGATCCAGATGAGAATCCAGTTGTAGAATTATCCTGTTCTCGCAGTCGCAGTCGCATTCGCGATGACAGTCGCAGTGGCAACGGCAGTCACAGTCACAGCCTCAGCCTCAGCCTGCCTCAGTATCAGCCTGCCTCAGCCTCAGCCTCAGCCTGCCTCAGCCTCAGCCTCAGCCTGCTACAGCCTCAGCCTCAGCCACAGCCTGCCTTCAGCCTCGGCCTCAGCCTCAGCCTGCCTCAGCCTCAGCCTGCATCAGCCTCAGCCTCAGCCTCAGCCTCAGCCTCAGCCTGCCTCCGCATCAGCCTGCCTCAGCCTCAGCCTCAGCCTGCCTCAGCCTCAGCCTCAACCTTTTCCTCAGCATCAGCCTCAACCTTTTCCTCAGCATCAGCCTGCCTCAGCCTCAGCATCAGCCTGCCTCGGCCTCAGCCTCAGCCTGCTTCAGCCTCAGCCTCAGTCTGCCTTCAGCCTCGGCCTCAGCCTCAGCCTGCCTCAGCCTCAGCCTGCATCAGCCTCAGCCTAGCTCAGCCTGCCTCAGCATCAGCCTGCCTCAGCCTCAGCCTCAGCCTGCCTCAGCCTCAGCCTCAGCCTGCTTCAGCCTCAGCCTCAGTCTGCCTTCAGCCTCGGCCTCAGCCTCAGCCTGCCTCAGCCTCAGCCTGCATCAGCCTCAGCCTCAGCCTCATCCTGCCTCAGCATCAGCCTGCCTCAGCCTCAGCCTCAGCCTGCCTCAGCCTCAGCCTCAGCCTGCTTCAGCCTCAGCCTCAGTCTGCCTTCAGCCTCGGCCTCAGCCTCAGCCTGCCTCAGCCTCAGCCTGCATCAGCCTCAGCCTCAGCCTCAGCCTGCCTCAGCATCAGTCTGCCTCAGCCTCAGCCTCAGCCTGCCTCAGCCTCAGCCTCAGCCTGCTTCAGCCTCAGCCTCAGTCTGCCTTCGGCCTCGGCCTCAGCCTCAGCCTGCCTCAGCCTCAGCCTGCCTCAGCCTCAGCCTCAGCCTCAGCCTGCCTCAGCCTCAGCCTGCCTCAGCCTCAGCCTCAGCCTGCCTCAGCCTCAGCCTCAGCCTGCTTCAGCCTCAACCTCAGTCTGCCTTCAGCCTCGGCCCTTTGCTCAGCCTTCAGCCTCAGCATGCTCAAGCTAGCAAGCCTCTGCGCTCAGCTCAATTGGCCTACGGTCATCAAAATGTGGCCCGGGGGAAGGGAAGGAATGTTCTGGGAACTTGAAGAAGACGAAGTGGAAGAGCACGAAGTGACTACAGTTGGCTCCGCCGGGCATTCAAAATGTGGCCCTGGAATAGGAGTCTGAGAAATCGAAGAGCACGAAGTGGCCTACAGCAGTTGGCTCCGGGCATTCAAAATGTGGCCCGGGAATGGAGTTCTGGGGACTCGAAGACCACGAAGTGGCCTACAGGTGGCTCCGGGCATTCAAAATGTGGCCCGGGAATGGAGTTCTGGGAAGTCGAAGAGCACGAAGTGGCCTACAGTTGGCTCCGGGCATTCAGAATGTGGCCCGGGAATGGAGTTCTGGGAGGTCGAAGAGCACGAAGTGTGTGACTGTTGGCTTAAAACGACTTCTGCGGCACCCTGTCCGGCACCCGCCCAGACCCCCCTGTGGAGTCATCTGCTGCTCT